TGGTCCACAGGGGGAGCCACAGCGATCGGTCGCATTTTAGCCATTTTGAAGCATTTTTCTGTTGTTATAGCGCCACCCAGTTGCCAATTAGAGTTAAATTTCTCCAGTCACCTTGAGGCGTCCTGTTCTACATATCTACCAAGTTTAGTAAAAATCCATATGGCGGTTAGGCCTAGATAAGAAATGAGCTCTCTAGCGCCCCCATTTTGTTTGATGGGGTCAATAATGGAGGGGTCCCCTCAGATTATGTGTGGTCATATGCCTACAAAGTTGCGTGGTGATGGGTGAAACCCTTGAGATGTTATACACCTTTATGTGATGAGCCACGCCCTCCGCAATATTCATTGCCTTATAGAAGCTCAGTTTTAGTAAGTTTTCCAACTTTTGCCAAGAGGGAACTTTAGATATTGGTCCCTAGATTATGTTCACCCAGTTTCATGCAGATCGCTCAAACTTCCTAGGAAGAGATCCATTTGAAGTGTTTTTCAAAAAATTCAAAATGGCGGAAAATCTATATAAGCGGAAGTTATGGGTTCTTGAGGCAAATGTGTTCCTCATGAGGAGAGGCATCTCTGTGTTTCATGTCTCTACGACATACGGGGCATGAGATATGCCCATTCAAAGTTTGCAATTTCAATCGGTTGCTATAGCGCCCCCCTTTGGCCAACTGATGTAATATTGCTTCATTCACATCCTCCCATGACCCTCTACCACTGTGCCAAATTTCACATGGATTGACCAAGTCAGTGAGGAGAAAAACGTGGAGCAGACACGAAGACAGAGTTTTCGTCATTATATAGTAAGATTATTATCAAATAATAGTGTTTTTCTGACAGTGCTCGTCACAGAGGGGCTGCTAACTATGCAGATATAAAGGGCTGATTCTAAGGTATCGAAAACACTACTATTCATATTTCCAGGTGATTATACACTAAAGAAAACATAGCCTACTTGTTATATTATGTTCTATTTCTGCCAATATAGCCCCCTAAATCCTACACACTGGAACTTTAAGTATAACTATATAGGCAAAGACAGTCTTCTCTCTGATGGTCTGGTCTGCTGATATAGGTCATATAGTGGCATCAGTATTAAACTGAGACTGATTCAGAAGGTGCTTTAAAATGCATGACGGGAAAAATAAATTAAAACAAGAGTTTTTAGCTGCGCATATAGTCAAGAATCTGATGCACATATTGATATTAAGACGTGTATAGATGTAAATATATGATACTTGTGTAAATTTGTGAATAATCGATTAGTCCAATCGTTGCAGCTCAAGTAACGTTTTGCACGTTGCCTGTGACATCATCACATCAAGGAGGACGTGACGTTTGAAACGGTCGATATAACTGTAAAAGAGAACAATAACTAGTTTGATCAATACAGAGTTACACTGACTATTTACCCTGAAATGACAGGTGAAACGGTTTCTGTCGGTTTACCGTTAATCTGGCGTTCACTGAGTCGTTAGCATGCTAATGCTAGCAGCAGTTACCGTGTGATTAGACCCGTGTTTCTGTGTGTGAATGACACAGAGAGGCGGCCGGTGAGCCGGTTCGGTCCGCTGTGAACGGAAACTCACCAGAACCACCAGACAGTCGATGCTGACGGACGGTAGACCCCAGTCTCCTTCCCAGCAAAACAACTCGTCGGGGGCCGCCATCTTCAGCCGGGACCGTAACCTCTCACACCGGAAGCGGAAGTTGAGTCCCGCTGCCGTTGACAACCAGAATAAAATCCATAGAGATACTTTATTAAAGTAAATTTTAATCGAGTAAAAGTAATAATTTTATTTATTTATTTATTTTTTACTTTTACTTTTGTTAGAGTAATACTTTTAAGGGCGTAAATTTTAATCCAGTGAATGTAATACTTTAACAGTAAAAGTAACCGAGTACCCTTGAATACTTTTCCTGTAAAAGTATTAGATTACTTTTACTGTTAAGAGTATAAGTAATTCTTTTACAGTTAAAGTAATACTTTTAGTGTAAACGTATTAGGTTACTTTTACTGTTAAGAAATTACTGTTATTGGATTAAAATGTCCGTCAGTAAAAGTATTACTTTAACTGAAGTTTTACTCCAGTAAATGTTATAGCAACTTTTATAAATTTCATTCTGGTAAAAGTAATGATGTAGTAAAAGTATTACTTTTACTGGCATGAGTTTCAAACCAGTAAATGTAATACTGTTACTGTAAAAGTATTACTTTACCTAAGTAAATTCAATCCTGTAAGTATCAGCAGTAAATGTATTATAAGTTTTATGTAGCTTAAAAAAAGTATCAGCAGTAAAATTACACAAGTAACATCGGCATCATGTCATTAACGCAGGCTATCAGCAGTAAAGGTATTATCAGCTTTATTAAGTATCAGAAGTAGAGGGTAACATCAAACAAAAATACAAGTAAAGTACAAGTATTTCAGTATGTATACTTAGTTACTTCCCTCCACTGGTTCTGCACCATATGATTGTCACATATGGGACTTTCAACTGAATAACCCAACATAAACACACTCAATTACACAGTGAGTCATTTTTAATGAGCAACACAAACACGTTGTATGATGTAACGATGTGTCTATGTGCAGGGTTGCATCCTGAGCCAGGAAGTCTGTCACCACCTGAGACATTTTTGGACTGCCATCAACCACACTCTGTGCAAATTTCTTACTATTTAAAAAGTCCATCATGGTCGACCTGTATCTCTGTATTTTACAACCTTTCAAGACCCACAATCAGAATCAGCCTGTTACTTGTAATTGTGTAATATTCTTGTTTTCCGTCTGTCTTCAGTCCTGTTTCATATTGAATGTGTTGACATAAACTCTCACTTCCCTGTTCTCTGTGTCACAAGTGTTAGATTGTGAGCGTCGGTCGAGCTGTTGCTTTCCAGTTATCTCTGTTATCTTCCAATTCACAGTAGCCCATTTACTCAGCAACATTTTACACTGAGGACATTTTCACTATGAGACTAGAGCAGAAGTGAAAAGCAGATTAAAATAGATTCAAATGACATACGTACGTGTTAGGTTTTAATGGAGCCACAAAACCCTTTTTTAAATCACATATTTCCTATGGAGGTGGAGGTGTTCCTGTTCCTGTTTTTGAAACTGGAGCCTTTACCTACTTACATTTAACAGGCTTCAAAAAGGTATTGAAAATGCAAAAATAAAACTGTAAAGAAAAATTCCAAAGCAAGCCAATAAAGTCATAATCAGTACAAACGATCAGACAAATATTGGTTCATCGATAAAGAGTTAAAGGTAGCAGACTGTGTCCGTGAAACTTCAGGAGACAAGTCTGTCATTAGCAGTAGTCACAGAGGTAGTAGCATTACGTCTGGCAGTAGCAGCATATAATAGTATTAACAGTATTCTGAGGACTGTGTGTGTGCAGGAGCGTAAATATGGGCAGTGCAGGCAGTGCAAAGAGTGGGCCCTTGCAAATGATTCAGATTGCCATCTTGGAAATATACCTAACCCTAACCCTGTTCAAAGATAAATGATAAAAAATAATAATAATAATATAAATGGTGCTATTTGACGTATATGTCCTCAAAAGGGCAAACCAGTCTGCGTCATATTTTTCTTTCTTATTTTTCTTTTCTTTTTAAAAGAAAAAAAAAAGGTCAGTAGCTGTCTAAAACAAAATATGCTTTTTCTATATAAGCTATGAAATCTATAAATATACTATAAAAACTATTTGATGAAATGATTAATTTCTTTCTTTAATATCTTTGTCAGATATGCAATGTCATTTGTCAAGTCTCTCTTTGTGTCAAGGCAATACATGCAAGATAGCGTGCACTGAGTCACAGTTACAGCTGGTTAGATCCTGTTTAGATCCACATGCATGACTGGTTATATTACTTATCTACAGTATATATGTACACTGACTCCAACATGTTTGTAATAAAAAATAAAGTTAACAGTGAGAAAGATATTTACATCACCGAGCACCCTCATGAAGAAATCTTTGGGTCTGCAGCTCAGCTTTAGGTGCTCTGAACAATAATATCTCAATAACTAATTAACTGACAGTCATGTTAAGCTTCATGCTCCACACACTGAGCAAAGTGCTGATAAAGTTTTACATAGTCTCAAACACAGACTGACTGCTGTCGTCACATCATCATGACATGACATTAGATGGTTTCTCTCCTCTTTAGGTCCTCTGGGTGTAAACGAGATGTGACTTCAGCCTCTGTTGGCCACAGAGCTGTAGATGACACCGTCCTCCGCCTCTTCTGCTGGCCTAAAAATAAGTCAATAGAAAGCAGAACAAGAAATGGACAATATTGTGTCATCTGAGAGAGGAGGAGAAAAGCATTTTTTATATGTTTCACAATCAGTTGAATGCCCACAGGGTTAAAAGCACTCATTGTAAGATTGGATAAAAGCGTCACCTAAATAAATGCAATATAAAAAAAATCTCCCTCTTCTCTTTTTTATAAGTCAGTGTAACACGAACACAGACATGAGACACATACTGATATCATTCAGCGTGACTCACACTTCCTGAGGATAACATTATCTCTGATGTCCATCTAGAAGAAATAATATCACTAGTTCCTCCAAGCTGCTTGTTAGAGTTTTCAAACCTGCTGATTTAATCTCTGTTGGCTGTTCACAGAGACATGTTTCACAGACACAGATATAAAGTGTTCACTGCACAGCTGAAGAATCCGTCCAGCCTACAGTACCTGGCCTTGTTCTTCTGTTTGAACTGGACGGCGGCGTAGCTGATGTCCTCCTGTGGTTCCTGCTCAGCAGGGTGCTGGATGTCACTGTAGATGATATCAGGACGCTGAAAACATGAACAGGATGAAAGACAGGAAGAGATGAGGAAATGAAGACACTGCTGAAGTGTTATTTGTTTCAAAAGCTGCTCTGCAACAGAAAAGTGGATTAAGAATTAATTTAATGAGTGAATTAATGAATTTCATGTATTGTTTGTATGTAAACCTACGAAAAGTAATGCACCAAAACTTGTATATAATGCAAGTAACCACAAGCCAGTGATTCCTGTATAACTTATATATCCAGGAAGGCTGGCATCACATGACCAACATGCTGATGGGAATAAAGAAAGAAACGCTCTCTGTAAGGAAGCAGGTTGGGGTGTCGGAGTGAAGAACCACGTGAAACCAAGTGTTTGAGTCATTTTCAGGGACATAGTTACCGTGTTTCATTCATACCTAACCTATGTAACTGCCGTGCATTTACACTAACGTTTATTAATGTGCACTGTTCCTGTTAACAAACAATTATAAATCTATCTTAATCTGCTCCACCACCTCATCCTGCTCACTTGAGAAATAAACAAAAAAAAAAACAATGTGGAAGGAAAAAGTGATGATAATAAAATGAGATTAAAAAAAAAGTGAAATATGAATAAAGATTAAATGCATTATGACTGGCAGGGAGTAACTCACCTTTTGTTCGCTTTCCACAGATGGCTGAAGCTGATCTGCTGCTGCTGCGGCTGCCCGTTTCCTGTAATTACCATGATAATACAACAGCACCACCAAAAAAACCTTACTGATGTTGCATCAGGACGTTAAAGGAGAAGTCCGGTATTTTGCACTTTGAGCCACATTTCTGGGTTGTTTATGATGAAATAGAGTAGTTAAGACCAAAATTTTGACCATTGCTCCTTTTGACGAAAATTTGGCTTTCCCCTGCCTGGCTTAACAGGCAGATATACACACGTCTATGGCCATGTGTAAATCTGTCCTGAAACCACCCTCAAGGTTCGTTTTCAAAGCCGTGAAACTCACCGAGTGGTCAGTTGTGTTCGTTGATGTTCTGACATAAAAATCGTGGCAAACTGTGGTTTCAATCCGTGTTTTCGCTGTTCATCTCAACTGTGGAACTATTTTTTCAGCTGCCTCACACCCGTGTGTAAACTTCCGCTTGATTGTTCGTTTGACCCTGAAGCAGTATACACTCCAGCCCACTTGATCGCGATAATGCTCCTTTACGCAACATACCGGAATTCTCCTTTAAAGCCAAATATAGACGGCCAACTTAAAAGACTCATATATACAGTGGCATGCAAAGGTTTGGACCCTTGTCAAAATTTTGTTTACTCTAAGTAGAAGATGAACTGATCTGAAAGTTAAAGATGACACATTTCCTCAATATTTTAAGCGAAGTTACTCACTTGATACTTTGGCAAGTATCACAGCTTCTAAACACTTCTTGTATCCAGCTCAGAGTCTTTCAGTTCTTGTTTGGAGGATTTTCACCCATTCTTCCTGCAAAAGGCTTCTAGCTCTGTGAGATTCTTGGGCCGTCTTCATGCTGTGCTCTTTGAGCTCTATCCACAGATGTTAATGATGTTTAGGTCGGGGGACTGTGAGGGGCGTGGCCAAACCTTCAGCTTGCTCCTCTTGAGGTCGTCCACTGTGGATTTGGAGGTGTGTTTAGGGTCACTGTCCTGTTGTAGAAGCCATCCTGTCTTCATCTGCAGCTTTTTACAGATGCTGTGATGTTTGCTTCCAGAATGAATCCATTCTTCCCTCTACCTGTGAAATGTTCCCAGTGCTACTGGCTGTAACACAAGCCCAAAGCATCATCCATCCACCCCTGTGTTTAACAGCTGGACAGGTGTTCCTTTTCTCTCCAAACATACCTTTGCTCATTGTGTCCAAAAACAGGACTTGTTTCCAAAAAGCATCAGGCTTGTTCAGATGTTCCTTTGCAAACGTCTGATGCTGAATTTTGTGGTGAGGACACAGGAAAGGTTTTCTTCTGATGACTCTTCCATGAAGGTCATATTTGTCCAGGTGTGTCTGCACAGTAGAACAGTGCACCACCACTCCAGAGTCTGATAAATCTTCCTGCAGGTCTTTTGCAGTCAAACAGAGGTTTTGATTTGCCTTTCTAACAATCCTACGAGCAGCTCTCTCAGAAAGTTTTCAGCTTGACTTAGAGTTAGACACAGTTCCTGTTAACTGCCATTTCTTAATGACACTACGAACTGAGGAAACAGCTCCCTGAAAACACTTTGCTGTCTTCTTATAGTCTTCTCCTGCTTTGTGGAAATCAGTTAATTTAGTTTTCAGAGTGTTTGACAGCTGTTTAGAGGAGCCCATGGCTGCTGATTGTTGGGTTTCAGAAGTCAGAGTATTTATAAAGCTTTGTAATTAGCATCACCTGGCCTTTCCTAACGATGACTGAGCCAGAGCCCTAACAAGCTCATTAAGGTCTGAGACCCTGGGAAAAGTTGTCTGAGAGCTCAAATGTCTTGGGGTGCCCAAACTTTTTCCTGGTACTCCTTTCATATTTTTTCCCACTAAACCAAAATAATATTCTAATCTTGCTTAAAATGTTGAAAAGCATGTTTCATCTTTAACTTCATGTCCTCAGGAGATCATCTTCTGCTTAATTAACTATTTGCAGTAAAATAAATTTTGACCAGGAATGCCCAAATTTGTGCAATTAAATTCGTAGAAACAATAGTGTAATGGTGCAAAGTGCTGGAATAAATGTGCACTGATTAATACAAGAGGTTGTGTTTGTGATCAACAGATTGATTAAAATACCTTTTGATGATGCAGAGAACCAGAACGAGAGCGAAGAGAGCCAGCAGGACACCAACCACCACACCAGCGATCAGAGGCAGGTTAACATCTCCTGCTGTAAAACACATCAGACCGTCATGAGATTAGATAAAAGCACTTATTATACACCATCGCCAAATCATTACAGTCAGTACTACAGACTGGAACCTAAAAATCAGAATGACAAGACACAGCCAGTACCTTTCTCTGTCAGGTTTTCAAAATAAGACTGTACACAAGTCAGTTCAACGTAAATTATTGTTACTGATAACAGTTGTATATTTAAATGTACATTGAAAGCGGCTCTTATCAATATATGGTATTACAGTAAAAACGGTTAACATGACTACTTGTATGAGTAATGTGTCCCTTATGCAGCACTTTGATAGCCTGGAAATCCAGACCCAGATCTAGAAAGATTTAGGTTCTGGCCATGAGTAATGCAAATGGCCCAACTCGAGGGGCGGCACCAAGCATGCATTTGAAAATATCACTGCACGCAATTGGATAACACTACGACCAATCAGAACAATACACAGGGTGACGTATCCAGAGTTTAGCTACCAGCGGAGCTAACTGGTAGATTAGACTCTTGCCATATCCGGTCGGCAAAACAGCAAAAACGTCCTTCTTGCAAAGGAAAGATTTGAGCGCCGTCTTCTGTTCCTCTTTTAGAGAAAAAGCCAAGTCTAACTCGTTCATTGTAGCGGCCAAAGCCGTTTCAAACAACTGGTGTTCATCCGTAGCCATCTTGCAATGTTTACTGACTGATTCCGGACTTCGTCGTTGCAGCGCTGTCGTCATCTGTTTAGCTCGCCTCTGGCCCGCCTATATCAGATACACCGATGTGATTGGTGCAGCTCGGCTCCAACAGCATGGGTAATGAGCATCATTACTGATTGCCAGAGTGACTCGCTGAGCAAATTCTAATTGTGTTCTCGCGAGAACTCTGGATTTCCAGGGTAGCACTTTGAAGCTTTTTAGCCTCTTTTAGCTCCTAGTTTTTTTGGTTCATTTCCTGTCTTGTTCAGATTTAAAATGGTAAAAACACTGATAAAGCAATTTCACGGTTCACGTTTTTCTGCAGCAGCTTGTCACAAAGAGGCTGCTAACTACAGTGATCAATACGAAAACGCAACAGCGCAAATATTTCTATCTGGAGCCAGTGTTTGGTTTGCCTGTTCTGGACTACTGTAGAAACATGGCAGTGCAACCATAGCCTGTAAAAATAATGGACATAGCTACCATGACATCACCCACTGTTTTTGTGGACTCACATTTTGAGCCCTCGAGTTCAGCATTATGGCTGTGACCCTAATTGACGAGGAGCGAGGGATGGATCTGACTGAAGCTGAGGACACTATTGGCAGAAAGCCTGTCTGCCTCTCAAAGCGCTCGTCCTTAAATATGCATAACTTTAATAAAACATGTGAGTTATATGCAGTTGTCATGAACTCTGAAATTTGCTTTAGAAATCAAAACTTTTTTTTTCTTTGTACCAGGCTGTAAACATGTTTATTTCTACTGTGAAGTTGGGCACTTCTATGTCCTATGGGAATTACTGGCTTCTAGAGCCAGCCTCTAGTGGACAATAGAGGAACTGCAATTTTTGGTACTTCCACGTTGCACAGATAGATTGCTAAAAAGTTGGCATCAGCTTCTTCATAAGATGATGCTGTACATCAGATCTTTACAGACTGTTGCAATAAAACTAATGAAACAAACCTTCTTCTTCACCCTCCACGTGCAGGCTGTACGGCTGGGAGAGTGTGCGGTTGTTGTTCTTCAAGCCACAGGTGTAGTTCCCAGAATCCTTTGCAGCCAGAGGGCCAAGCTGGAGGGTGGGGCCAGTCTCTGGGAGGGTGTTGCCATCTCTAAACCAGGTGACCTCCAGTTGGTGGAAGGTGCACATTGCATTGCATTTCAGCGTGAGTCTTTCCCCTCTTTTAAACTCTCTGTTGCTCTCTGTCTTTATCTTCATCCGAGTATTTTCTAAAATACCTGTAAAATGTTAGTTTTCTTAAACTATCAGTTTCAATACATTATACAGTGAATGTAATTATCATGTTGAGGAGTTTTAACTGATAACCCATGATTTTTGTTGCATTTAACGGCATTTAGCTTTGGTCCAGACAATAACCTGATTATTGTTGGGACCACAGGTAAACATGTCCATTTGTAGTTCTATAATTTATTCATTTGGCAGTAATATTAGAACGAATCAGATAAAAAGCAGATTAGATTTAAGACTCCACAGACTGTTTACTGACATAGTTACACTGTGGGAGGAGGAGAGATTACAGATGTGTCATAAAGAGATGGATTCATTTACACCTTTTTAACGACTGGTGAGAATGAGTCTCAAACCTCCATCAGAGGTGCTTTGAACAATCAGATTTATGTCTGTCTCGAATGTTTCTTGGACTGTGTAACTCTGTCAGAAACTGACACCTTTGACCTTAAATGATATTGGACCCTATTTATGTTATACATTAAAGGATGGGGTCACATTTTTTTCAGCATTAGTGCAGTGACCACAAGTACTACACAAATACTGGACAGCATCATGCCGCCCCAGTTTGTGATTTTAGGCGGCTTACCGGCATCCCGGAAGCATAAGAGGCGCGACATGACATATGGCCTGTAGTGTGAAATATAACATATGCATATGCATCTGCAGTGTTTTTTTAACAATAACAATGGCATAACAATCATTTACCGTCCCTGTTATATGGCGGCTGTTCTCATCCTCCGCTCTGAGGACAGGGATAGTCATTGTCTCCTCAATTTATGGACATTTTTGTCTCTCTGAAATTAAATCCTGGATGCGAGCAAAGTTTCTTAAACTCAACTGTGACAAATCAGACATGATCCTAATTGGTCCAAATTCCCTCACCCAAACAGCCAAAGACTTCCACCTCACCATCAACAACTCCACCCTGTCCCGCTCCCCTCACTGCTGCAACCTTGGTATCATCTTCGACAGCAACCTCTCCTTCGACCAACACATCAAACAAGTCACTAAAACAGCCTTCTTTCACCTTAAAAACATTTCTTGCCTCCGCCCATCACTCTCTTGCAATGCCGCCGAAGCCCCGATCCACGCCTTCATTACATCCCGCCTTGACTATTGCAATAGCATCCTTTATGGCACAACCTCCAAACTCCTCAATAAACTCCAATACATCCAAAACTCTGCCGCCCGTCTCCTCACTCACACCCGCTCCCGCGACCACATCACCCCTGTCCTTCAGAACCTCCACTGGCTCCCTGTCCCACAACACATCCACTTCAAACTCCTCCTACTCACCCATAAAGCCCTCCACAACCAGCCCCCCTCTTACCTCACAGACCTGCTCCACCCTTACACCCCTTTCTGCAGCCTTCGCTCTTCCAATGCCAACCTTCTCACCGTCCCCAAGACCAAGCACAGAACCTGGGGGGGCAGAGCCTTCTCCATTGCTGCCCCCACCCTCTGGAGCTCCCTCCCAAAACATATCCGTGACTGCACTGACCTCCCATCATTCAAATCACTACTCAAAACTCACCTGTTCCGTTCTGCTTTTAATGTTTAGCTACTTTTTAATTCATTTATTCATTTATTTGTTTTTCACTCCCATTGCTATTNTTTGATTTGCCTTTCTAACAATCCTACGAGCAGCTCTCTCAGAAAGTTTTCAGCTTGACTTAGAGTTAGACACAGTTCCTGTTAACTGCCATTTCTTAATGACACTACGAACTGAGGAAACAGCTCCCTGAAAACACTTTGCTGTCTTCTTATAGTCTTCTCCTGCTTTGTGGAAATCAGTTAATTTAGTTTTCAGAGTGTTTGACAGCTGTTTAGAGGAGCCCATGGCTGCTGATTGTTGGGTTTCAGAAGTCAGAGTATTTATAAAGCTTTGTAATTAGCATCACCTGGCCTTTCCTAACGATGACTGAGCCAGAGCCCTAACAAGCTCATTAAGGTCTGAGACCCTGGGAAAAGTTGTCTGAGAGCTCAAATGTCTTGGGGTGCCCAAACTTTTTCCTGGTACTCCTTTCATATTTTTTCCCACTAAACCAAAATAATATTCTAATCTTGCTTAAAATGTTGAAAAGCATGTTTCATCTTTAACTTCATGTCCTCAGGAGATCATCTTCTGCTTAATTAACTATTTGCAGTAAAATAAATTTTGACCAGGAATGCCCAAATTTGTGCAATTAAATTCGTAGAAACAATAGTGTAATGGTGCAAAGTGCTGGAATAAATGTGCACTGATTAATACAAGAGGTTGTGTTTGTGATCAACAGATTGATTAAAATACCTTTTGATGATGCAGAGAACCAGAACGAGAGCGAAGAGAGCCAGCAGGACACCAACCACCACACCAGCGATCAGAGGCAGGTTAACATCTCCTGCTGTAAAACACATCAGACCGTCATGAGATTAGATAAAAGCACTTATTATACACCATCGCCAAATCATTACAGTCAGTACTACAGACTGGAACCTAAAAATCAGAATGACAAGACACAGCCAGTACCTTTCTCTGTCAGGTTTTCAAAATAAGACTGTACACAAGTCAGTTCAACGTAAATTATTGTTACTGATAACAGTTGTATATTTAAATGTACATTGAAAGCGGCTCTTATCAATATATGGTATTACAGTAAAAACGGTTAACATGACTACTTGTATGAGTAATGTGTCCCTTATGCAGCACTTTGATAGCCTGGAAATCCAGACCCAGATCTAGAAAGATTTAGGTTCTGGCCATGAGTAATGCAAATGGCCCAACTCGAGGGGCGGCACCAAGCATGCATTTGAAAATATCACTGCACGCAATTGGATAACACTACGACCAATCAGAACAATACACAGGGTGACGTATCCAGAGTTTAGCTACCAGCGGAGCTAACTGGTAGATTAGACTCTTGCCATATCCGGTCGGCAAAACAGCAAAAACGTCCTTCTTGCAAAGGAAAGATTTGAGCGCCGTCTTCTGTTCCTCTTTTAGAGAAAAAGCCAAGTCTAACTCGTTCATTGTAGCGGCCAAAGCCGTTTCAAACAACTGGTGTTCATCCGTAGCCATCTTGCAATGTTTACTGACTGATTCCGGACTTCGTCGTTGCAGCGCTGTCGTCATCTGTTTAGCTCGCCTCTGGCCCGCCTATATCAGATACACCGATGTGATTGGTGCAGCTCGGCTCCAACAGCATGGGTAATGAGCATCATTACTGATTGCCAGAGTGACTCGCTGAGCAAATTCTAATTGTGTTCTCGCGAGAACTCTGGATTTCCAGGGTAGCACTTTGAAGCTTTTTAGCCTCTTTTAGCTCCTAGTTTTTTTGGTTCATTTCCTGTCTTGTTCAGATTTAAAATGGTAAAAACACTGATAAAGCAATTTCACGGTTCACGTTTTTCTGCAGCAGCTTGTCACAAAGAGGCTGCTAACTACAGTGATCAATACGAAAACGCAACAGCGCAAATATTTCTATCTGGAGCCAGTGTTTGGTTTGCCTGTTCTGGACTACTGTAGAAACATGGCAGTGCAACCATAGCCTGTAAAAATAATGGACATAGCTACCATGACATCACCCACTGTTTTTGTGGACTCACATTTTGAGCCCTCGAGTTCAGCATTATGGCTGTGACCCTAATTGACGAGGAGCGAGGGATGGATCTGACTGAAGCTGAGGACACTATTGGCAGAAAGCCTGTCTGCCTCTCAAAGCGCTCGTCCTTAAATATGCATAACTTTAATAAAACATGTGAGTTATATGCAGTTGTCATGAACTCTGAAATTTGCTTTAGAAATCAAAACTTTTTTTTTCTTTGTACCAGGCTGTAAACATGTTTATTTCTACTGTGAAGTTGGGCACTTCTATGTCCTATGGGAATTACTGGCTTCTAGAGCCAGCCTCTAGTGGACAATAGAGGAACTGCAATTTTTGGTACTTCCACGTTGCACAGATAGATTGCTAAAAAGTTGGCATCAGCTTCTTCATAAGATGATGCTGTACATCAGATCTTTACAGACTGTTGCAATAAAACTAATGAAACAAACCTTCTTCTTCACCCTCCACGTGCAGGCTGTACGGCTGGGAGAGTGTGCGGTTGTTGTTCTTCAAGCCACAGGTGTAGTTCCCAGAATCCTTTGCAGCCAGAGGGCCAAGCTGGAGGGTGGGGCCAGTCTCTGGGAGGGTGTTGCCATCTCTAAACCAGGTGACCTCCAGTTGGTGGAAGGTGCACATTGCATTGCATTTCAGCGTGAGTCTTTCCCCTCTTTTAAACTCTCTGTTGCTCTCTGTCTTTATCTTCATCCGAGTATTTTCTAAAATACCTGTAAAATGTTAGTTTTCTTAAACTATCAGTTTCAATACATTATACAGTGAATGTAATTATCATGTTGAGGAGTTTTAACTGATAACCCATGATTTTTGTTGCATTTAACGGCATTTAGCTTTGGTCCAGACAATAACCTGATTATTGTTGGGACCACAGGTAAACATGTCCATTTGTAGTTCTATAATTTATTCATTTGGCAGTAATATTAGAACGAATCAGATAAAAAGCAGATTAGATTTAAGACTCCACAGACTGTTTACTGACATAGTTACACTGTGGGAGGAGGAGAGATTACAGATGTGTCATAAAGAGATGGATTCATTTACACCTTTTTAACGACTGGTGAGAATGAGTCTCAAACCTCCATCAGAGGTGCTTTGAACAATCAGATTTATGTCTGTCTCGAATGTTTCTTGGACTGTGTAACTCTGTCAGAAACTGACACCTTTGACCTTAAATGATATTGGACCCTATTTATGTTATACATTAAAGGATGGGGTCACATTTTTTTCAGCATTAGTGCAGTGACCACAAGTACTACACAAATACTGGACAGCATCATGCCGCCCCAGTTTGTGATTTTAGGCGGCTTACCGGCATCCCGGAAGCATAAGAGGCGCGACATGACATATGGCCTGTAGTGTGAAATATAACATATGCATATGCATCTGCAGTGTTTTTTTAACAATAACAATGGCATAACAATCATTTACCGTCCCTGTTATATGGCGGCTGTTCTCATCCTCCGCTCTGAGGACAGGGATAGTCATTGTCTCCTCAATTTATGGACATTTTTGTCTCTCTGAAATTAAATCCTGGATGCGAGCAAAGTTTCTTAAACTCAACTGTGACAAATCAGACATGATCCTAATTGGTCCAAATTCCCTCACCCAAACAGCCAAAGACTTCCACCTCACCATCAACAACTCCACCCTGTCCCGCTCCCCTCACTGCTGCAACCTTGGTATCATCTTCGACAGCAACCTCTCCTTCGACCAACACATCAAACAAGTCACTAAAACAGCCTTCTTTCACCTTAAAAACATTTCTTGCCTCCGCCCATCACTCTCTTGCAATGCCGCCGAAGCCCCGATCCACGCCTTCATTACATCCCGCCTTGACTATTGCAATAGCATCCTTTATGGCACAACCTCCAAACTCCTCAATAAACTCCAATACATCCAAAACTCTGCCGCCCGTCTCCTCACTCACACCCGCTCCCGCGACCACATCACCCCTGTCCTTCAGAACCTCCACTGGCTCCCTGTCCCACAACACATCCACTTCAAACTCCTCCTACTCACCCATAAAGCCCTCCACAACCAGCCCCCCTCTTACCTCACAGACCTGCTCCACCCTTACACCCCTTTCTGCAGCCTTCGCTCTTCCAATGCCAACCTTCTCACCGTCCCCAAGACCAAGCACAGAACCTGGGGGGGCAGAGCCTTCTCCATTGCTGCCCCCACCCTCTGGAGCTCCCTCCCAAAACAAATCCGTGACTGCACTGACCTCCCATCATTCAAATCACTACTCAAAACTCACCTGTTCCGTTCTGCTTTTAATGTTTAGCTACTTTTTAATTCATTTATTCATTTATTTGTTTTTCACTCCCATTGCTATTCCTCTTTGTCTTCGATGTCTTTTGCTGTAAATTGTTTTTTGATGAGTTTTTAACCTATTCTGTAAAGTGACTTTGAGAACTTTGGAAAGCGCTTTATAAATAAAATGTATTATTATTATTATTATTATTATTATTGGCTGAGTTAGCTGCTCACTGCTGCTAGCTGCTTTTCAAATCTCCTGGTGGCGGGTCACACATACTGTATAACACATCATCAAAATGTCACACTCATCCCGCCCTGCAGGCTGCCCATTTTACATAGATGTCAATTTGATGCTGTCAGCTTGAAGGTTTAAAGGTGAGACAACTCTGTCTGCCTATTAGGGATCATACCTGAACAGCAAAGCAGAATAACAGCAGAGATTCCCTCCTTGACCAGACAGTGTTAAAGGGGCTACTGTTATTGGTGGGCAGCGGTGGCAGTGTTGGCATTAATGATAGCAAAACTATCATTTTTCAAAAAACTTTTCAATTTGAACTTTTAAAAAAGTGATGACAGTGAGTATGCAAGTCTGGTTCTGTCAGGATCTTAAGGCGAGACATGGCAGGCAAAAGCACAGATTTTTCATGCAGTGGTCAATTTTGAGATTTTGGGCTAGTTTACTCCTTGAATATGTATTCTTTTAAACTGCTATAAAGAAAACATTCAAATTATACATTTAGACATTTATTTTATTACATTTTGTCTACTTGTATTATGTTATTATGTAAATCTTTGAATGCCATTTTCTCAAAATGAGTCAAACATCACCAAACTTTCCAGTTATACACCTAGCTATAATTCTGAAGATATTTACAGAGGGATTTGTTAATATCTCAATCCTAGCCTGATTTATGTGACATTTTATTCCCAAAAATATGTCGAAAATCGATTTTTTTAAGGCTATGGACAGTATATTTTGATTTTCTAGGTAATAAAAGCAGATATCCTTAAATCCCTCTGTATTTTTTTTTCATCTTATATGTACACAAAATGAAAAAATAATTTTGTACCTGGCTTTATCAGATGTTCAGATTTATCTTCCTAAAATATATGCAAATTAGCACATATTTAATGAGACAATGCCTTATTTGCATAATTAAGCATAGAAAATTTAAATCTTGTAATACTTTTTTTTCATACTATTGTAAGTAATCAGCTAAGGAAGTTTCATGATGATATCTATTATTTTAAAATTTTACCCTATTCACCTGTAGTGTCTCACCTTAAACTAAAACCGTCTGACCTATTGGACTTTTCATGTAATAAAATGTTAAATATTTTCAGACTTGTGAACCACAGTAGTTAGTCTATGAAAACAAACATCAGAAAGCCTTAAAGAGATCCTATTAAACTCATACCAACAATGACTTTCACTCCTGGTGGGCCAGTAAATGTTGCTTTGCAGTGATTAGTTTCCACTCTGAAGCGAAAAGTTGCGTTATCGTCCGTCTGTAAATCGGTGATCTGTAAAGTGCAGTTTCCCTTCTTGTCTCCCAGGTATCTGTAACGAGGGTTGTTTTTGTCTGATTTACTGTCGTACACAGACGGAGTGCCGCCCTGACAAATCTCATGGTTCGGGCACCAGACGACTCTGTTGATCTTTATCAAAACTTCTTTTCCATTCTCAGTGACAGACGCCAGCGTTTTGAAGGTGCAGGGGAGGGTGACAGTCGATCCTTTCATGGCACAAACAGAACGTGGATAGTTCACACTCTGACCCACAGCACCTGAAAATAAACATTGTTGAAGAAAGTTAAAGAATTCATTGTCTCTGCTTCTCTTTGTAAACTGAGGCCTGATTAAAATTTAGAGACCTGTGATTTGATCTCGCGTTAAATTTTATTCAGGGCCTTTTTTTCACACACAGACACAGAAACATTTCTGGCCCTAAACATTGTCTCTAGTATTCAAACAGCACAACAAATGTGTTATCTCACTTTTATTCTTGATTAGATGTGACAGAATTCTGCTGCCTAAAGTTAAGGATGAAGCTGAAGATGAGCTGAAAGCTACAAAGACAAACCAACATAAAGGTGTTTTAGTATCTGACAGTCAGAAAGAAGTGTAACCCTGACAACTGAGTAAATACACTGAACCACTGGAACTCTGGAAGTAGACAATCCTGCCAACACCACCAGAATGAACTGTCACATGTTCTTTTACCAAAACAAATATGGACGCCAACTGTCCCGTTTATTTGTACCAAAAAAACATTGACGCCCACTGTCTCGTGTTCCTTTACCAAAACAAACACGGATGCAAACTGTCTCGTGTATTTGTACTAAAACGAACATGAACACAACTGTCCTGTGTTCTTTTACCAACAAAAACAAAAAAAACAAAAATGGACGCCATCTGGCTCGTGTTCTTTTACAAAAAACAAACAAACAACAACAACCAAAAAAAAAAAAACATGGACGCCATCTGTCAAGTGTTCTTGTACCAAAACAAACATGGATCCCAACTGTTTGAATGTATTATTTTACCAAATCAAACATGGTCAACAATTGTCACATGATCTTGTACCAAAACAAACAAGGGTGCCAAACATGGACACCATGTGTTTTTATACCAAAAGAAATGGAGTGGCGTAGGGGCTGCTAACTATGATGGCCAATGTGGAAACACAAATGGCCCTGTCTAGAGCCAGTGTAGAGTTCTCAAAGAAAAAATTACAACCCGAACCAAACCCACCTGTGTGAGCTGAAGCCTAAAACATGGCTTGTCTGGGATCGTCACATAAAATAGCTCAACTCCCCAAGAAAGCACTAATCAGCTTCTAGCGCCTGGGACACACCGGCTGTGTGGCGGCGCAAGCCACGTGTGTCTCCAGCTATTGATTTTTACTATTGATGTGATAATGTGAAAGCAGCTTTTTTTATCTTGTATTTTATTTAACTATAAACACAACTCAGTTGATCCAAAGTGATTGGAAGGAAAGTAAAGTTAAAGAACAACAAACTCCTACAGAGGTTAAAATACAGACTTTACTACAGAACAAACAGGCACGTGCACACGTAGACCCCAGGTGGCGCTAACGCACCTGCCCCCCAGACTGGTCAGATTTCTATTTCTTTTTCTGATTTAATATTTTAGTTTTCAAATTTTGTCCATGGCACCAATTGTTTGGAACTGTTGTGAGACCAAACAGCTTTTAAAACATCTCAATACAGCCAGCCTAATTAAGCAATGACCCAACATTAAGTTAAACAAGTTAACTAGTCTGGCGTAAAACCGCACCGTCTCCCTCCAATTCTGTGGCTATTCTGGTTCACCAACTGCCTGGTGCGAGCGGAGAAAAACAAAAATCAAAAAAACAAAAAACAAAAAATTAAAATCAAAACTCAACTTGAAATAATGTTAAGATCTTGCACACCGCGGCTCTGATAAGTCATTAAAATACATGTGAAATGCTGTTTGGTGCTGCACATGACTTGTGCCAAGAGCGCAGCGAGGGAGAGGAGGAGCGTGAAGCTGCAGCCGCTGCAGGCTACTGGGATTCTTTCAGAATATTTAAAACTTATTTAGAAGATGATTTTATAGGGGCAATAAGCGGAAATTCATCATTTCTAGATTGAAGGAATTAATTTCATCTGGAGTATAGCATGACCTCACACACCCTCTCTCTGTGTTGATGTCCAGCCCGTTGTTCACATTCCGGCTGTGCGTTCATGTACGTTCATGTGAATCCCCCCCCTCTCTCGGAGCCCTTGGCCCTCCCTCCCTATAAAAGGCTACAGCCAGTGAGCAATGGCAGCGCGTATTTTCGAAATTAAATGGCAGAGAGCGGAATGTCCATCTGAAGACGACCAGGATCTGACATTACCTCTTAAGAAACAACGGTCGTTGGCGAAGAAGTTGTCGGATAAAGAAAGGGACAGAACTCAGATTAACATTGGCCTTGCATTTCCAAGGTGGAGAGCACTGCGAGAGCTAGAGGGGCTACAATCTGACTCGGAGCTAGCTCTTCTTCTCCTGGACAGGTACAACATAAAGTCAAATGTCTGTTTTAATTAGTGTTACAGTAACGTTAGGCACATGTCGCTATGTCGATTCAATTAAATTTAATGTTACAATCGTGGCATGGGTTAATGTCTGGAGCTTGAGTTATTAGCGGCTCAGTCCCAGCAATGGGTCAGGCGTTACGGTTGTGTTAGGTGAGTAGCCCGGCAGCCCAGCTAACATTTGCAATTAGCATTGTAAAATGTAGCCTCGTGGGCAGCCTGGCGAGCCAGGAGAGCAGAGGTAGAGGGAGGAGTGGCTCATGACACACTTTGTTTTGGTCTACAGGCAGTGCACGACAGCAAACCTAGCGGTGAAACGATTTCACTTATTGCCCCTTTAAATATTACTATTTATGAAATCAGAATGGTCAAGTTATTGTTTACAAATGGAATGAATTAAAAAAAAAAAAGAATTTAGTTTTATTCCTGAACCAACGGTAAATAAAGCATTTAGTTGGATCACAGGTTAAATTAAAGGATTCTGATGGGAAATCCATTCATCCGTCCATTTTCAACTGCTTATCCAAAGCCAGGTCGTAGGGGCAGCAAGCTGAGCAAAGTATTCAAGATGTCCCTCTCACCAGCAACACTTTCCAGCTCCTCCTGGGGATCCCTGAGGCGTTCCCAGGCCAGATGAGATATATAATCCCTCCAGTGTGTTCTGGGTCTGCCCCGGGGCCTCCTACCAGGAGGATCCTGATCAGATGCCCGAACCATCTGAATTGACCTCTTCCGACGCGACGGAGCAGCAGCTCTACCCCAAGCTCCTCCCCCGTCTCTAAGGCTGAGCCCAGACACCCTTTGGAGGAAACTCATTTCAGCTTCTTGTATCTGCGACCTCTTTCTGTCAGTCACTACCCAGAGCTCATGACCATAGGTGAGGGTTGGGAGGTAGATGGACCAGTAAATCAAAAGCTTTGTTTTCTGGCTCAGCTCCCTCTTCACCACGATGGTCCGGCGCAGTGCCCACATCTCTGTAGACGCTGCGCCACACCATCGATCCATTTTATGCTCCACAAGTTAATCTGAAGGAGAATAAATGTTTGAAAGTACAGAGAGCCTGAGAGTGTTACTGCATTTTATTCTATTATATATTGATTTTGATTAGTCACCTGCCACTTGAATTTTATTTTCCTTTACAAAAATAAATACATTGCCACCATAAATTGATGCAGAAAAGTTTGAGGCTCAAAGATTAGTCCCCCACAATGTTCAAACAAGATGACACCCATGTCTGCACACTGTATGGGTCTTACAGTAAACATGTAAGTAAGCAAAAATGTGTTTTGCTTGAGCACCTACTCCCAAAAATGTCTGTGCACGGCACTGAGAACAAGTCAGAATTTTATTTAAATGCATTTGTAAAGTTACTTTCCATAACTGAGGCTAACAGGTAACTCAACAGAAGATTACATTTGTCTGCAACCAACAGGACAGAGGGCAAAAATAATAATTCTGTCGTAGTTTGAATTTGTGTTGATGAAAATCAGAAAAAGATGGAAGAAAAACTGTGAATCCTTTTTCGGTTTTCACTGACAGAACACGAGACAGATAGAAAGAATACCAACAACAGATTCATGAGATTTCAGTCTTACCTGCCAGAAGGAACATGAAGCCCCAGAGAATGAGAATCTTTTTGTCCCAAACTGCCATCCTTAGTTTTTCCTTTAAGATTTAAGTTCTTCTGCTGTCAAAAAATGAGCTGAGTGTAAATTGACTGACTGACGGACAAGTTGTGACACAATTCAGGAAACATCTCTGGTCACTTTCTGACTTCCTCCTTTCTTTCTTTTTCCGAGAACCCTTCTCTCACCAACCTTATCTGTCAACCACATCTCCAAATTACATTCAGCTTCTTTAACTGTTACTTCCCTAATAACACCCACATCTACATGTCCTTTTCTGAGAAGCAAATTCCTTAAAGTGGCAAATTTAAACCCAGCCACAGTCAAAGAAAGAGCAACTGTGGCAGATTGAAGCATCAGGTTCACATTAATAATCATTTATTGTCAGAGAGAACAGGAGGGAAACACAGCCAAAATGTTTCACTTGAAACTGTTATCAACAACAACAAGAACACTTTATCTCATGATCATAATTTACTATATCATAATTAGGAGATAACAGGTGTTATTATGGTGGCCATGAGTGCCTCTGGTAATTTATAATAATTGTGGAGGTCGTCTGGGATCTTAATCTCACATATCTGTAACATAAATGTCAAGTAAAAGTTTCACAGCAAAGTGCCGACCACATTTTGGCAAACACAGAGGTCATGTGATAATGTTACAGAGGCATACAAAGGTTTGGTTTGTGTTTTGTCTTTGTATGCCTACAATGTAAATTTTTTACCTGTGGTATTGAAAATGGTATCAAATATCAATATTTTTTAAGGCATTGTATCCAATGGCGGTTTTAGTGGGGGGCCAGCAGGGGCCAGTGCCCCCGTAAATCTGAGTCAGGTCCCCCCTGTGGCCCCCCTGCTGAAGAGTCGGAGGGGCAATGCGGAACGCGGAACTAAATCGTCTCAACAGGTTGCCGGTCGGACCACCTAAAGCGGCGTACCCACCGAAAACATCAGTAGAGAATTGTGTAGCTGTATTTAAGACAACTCTGAGCCTGCACAACAACACACAGCACCATTGAAGTAAACTCTGAAAACTTTTTCTTTCTCATTTGGCTCATGGTAAATGCATGTCACATCATGTTGATGTAGCCATGTGAAATACGATCTGGAGTTTTCATGGGCGTTTTATTGTGAAAATTGACCAGATACTCTTGTCTTTTCTGCACCTGACTTCCTGTTTGACTCATTTGGTCTGCGCAAATTGACGTGCCGTCGAGCGGCGTCCGTCAGAAATAGACCCGGCGCGTGTTTTTAGTGGAGCGGAACGCCGAGCCGCTTCTAGGCCGCAGCTGGTGGACCAGCTTACATGGACTTTAATGACCACTATTAGCTCCGCACATTTTCTCCCAGAGGAGCATGCCCCCCAACCCCCCCTACAGGGTTGGATGTAGTCTCCAAAAATCCTGTGTATATCTGTATATCTGTACACACACACACATACATATATATGTATATATATATATATATATATACAGTACAGGCCAAAAGTTTGGACACACCTTCTCATTCAATGCGTTTTCTTTATTTTCATGACTATTTACATTGTAGATTCTCACTGAAGGCATCAAAACTATGAATGAACACATGTGGAGTTATGTACTTAACAAAAAAAGGTGAAATAACTGAAAACATGTTTTATATTCTAGTTTCTTCAAAATAGCCACCCTTTGCTCTGATTACTGCTTTGCACACTCTTGGCATTCTCTCAATGAGCTTCAAGAGGTAGTCACCTGAAATGGTTTCCACTTCACAGGTGTGCCTTATCAGGGTTAATTAGTGGAATTTCTTGCTTTATAAATGGGGTTGGGACCATCAGTTGTGTTGTGCAGAAGTCAGGTTAATACACAGCTGACAGCCCTATTGGACATCTGTTAAAATTCATATTATGGCAAGAACCAATCAGCTAACTAAAGAAAAACGAGTGGCCATCATTACTTTAAGAAATGAAGGTCAGTCAGTCTGGAAAATTGCAAAAACTTTAAATGTGTCTCCAAGTGGAGTCGCAAAAACCATCAAGCGCTACAACGAAACTGGCACACATGAGGACCGACCCAGGAAAGGAAGACCAAGAGTCACCTCTGCTTCTGAGGATAAGTTCATCCGAGTCACCAGCCTCAGAAATGGCAAGTTAACAGCAGCTCAGATCAGAGACCAGATGAATGCCACACAGAGTTCTAGCAGCAGACCCATCTCTAGAACAACTGTTAAGAGGAGACTGCACAAATCAGGCCTTCATGGTCAAATAGCTGCTAGGAAACCACTGCTAAGGAGAGGCAACAAGCAGAAGAGATTTGTTTGGGCCAAGAAACACAAGGAATGGACATTAGACCAGTGGAAATCTGTGCTTTGGTCTGATGAGTCCAAATTTGAGATCTTTGGTTCCAACCGCCGTGTCTTTGTGAGACGCAGAAAAGGTGAACGGATGGATTCCACATGCCTGGTTCCCACTGTGAAGCATGGAGGAGGAGGTGTGATGGTGTGGGGGTGTTTTGCTGGTGACACTGTTGGGGATTTATTCAAAATTGAAGGCACACTGAACCAGCATGGCTACCACAGCATCCTGCAGCGACATGCCATCCCATCCGGTTTGCGTTTAGTTGGACGATCATTTATTTTTCAACAGGACAATGACACCAAACACACCTCCAGGCTGTGTAAGGGCTATTTGACCAAGAAGGAGAGTGATGGAGTGCTGCGGCAGATGACCTGGCCTCCACAGTCACCGGACCTGAACCCAATCCAGATGGTTTGGGGTGAGCTGGACCGCAGAGTGAAGGCAAAGGGGCCAACAAGTGCTAAACACCTCTGGGAACTCCTTCAAGACTGTTGGAAAACCATTTCAGGTGACTACCTCTTGAAGCTCATGGAGAGAATGCCAAGAGTGTGCAAAGCAGTAATCAGAGCAAAGGGTGGCTATTTTGAAGAAACTAGAATATAAAACATGTTTTCAGTTATTTCACCTTTTTTTGTTAAGTACATAACTCCACATGTGTTCATTCATAGTTTTGATGCCTTCAGTGAGAATCTACAATGTAAATAGTCATGAAAATAAAGAAAACGCATTGAATGAGAAGGTGTGTCCAAACTTTTGGCCTGTACTGTATATATATATATATACATATATATATATCTTATTGTTCAGGCTTAGATCTTTGACCCTACATGTATGTGCCCCTGTATCAAAAGGACTGGCCCTAGCTTGGCCCCCCCCATTGAAACTGGCCTAGAACCGCCACTGATTGTATCAATGTTAGAAATTCCAGTATTGTGACAACACTAACAGGCAGTTGGGGTTGCTCATTATCAACTAATGATTGCCCAAGGTATAGTCTGTCAGAAAATGATAAAAAAAAAAAAGGCAGCAGAAAACATCATGAGGGCTGGACCTGGCTCCTGGCCTTCAAAACTATACACAACAGCACATCACAAGTGAATGCTTGGCTTATTAAAAACAAGTCATAATAATTGTTTCCATCATAATACATTATACTTTTAAAGCAAGCTGAAATTAATTATTTCAAATACATAAGTTATGTGTCTAATCCAATCGATTCAACATCCTCTAAAACGTCTAAATCCACTTAATCAAAATCAGCCCTCCAGTAGTTGAAATCTGCTCTATACAGCAGTTTGAATTGAAAATGTCAGAAATAGATTCAGCACCCTGTTGGGAATAGAATGATGTTATGTGTTTTACTATAAGTTGTGTTTCACTATATAAGTTTTAGATGTGTGAACAATGAGAATACTGAGATGATTTCAGCTGATCTGAATGTGTTTGCTTTGCAGAAGTGGAGAAGTACAGGAGAGGAAGAGACATGAAGTCTGAGGAGCACATACCGCAATGCTTAGATAATTAGTTTCATATATGGTAAAAAGAATAGAAAGTGATGTACAGATAGTAAGGTACAGCACGTGTAGGGAGTTGTGTTGTTCTCTTGTCTTTCAAAACAGGAACCACGCCCCCACCGCCAGCGGGAAGGAGTCAGATTAACACGAGGCAGGGGCGTGGTGTGGTGAAGGAGGAAGTGGAACTGCCAATAAGAAGAGGACAACGCCTTGCGTGCACAATGACACTCTGTTACGCTCAAATATACTGGGTCAGGGAAAGGACAGGAGGTCAGACTTCGTGAACTGACACACCTTTGTTGTTCGTCAGGGACGTGAAGTTGAGACCCAGAGCTCTGTAATTTTATTCCTTTACTGCTTAATAAACTACATTAACTGAGACCGAATATCTTCTCCTATTGCTTCATTAAAGAACACGCAGGACTGAGCTCACACATAGCACATTGGAGAGTAGGATGAGACTCTCAGTCCATCAACCCTCACTAACCCCCAAACTGTCCAAATACTCCAATACTGCAGTTGCTGAAGTATAGTCTACATAGGTGATTGTGCTAATTGGTGCTAATTATGCAAATTTCCCAACAAATGTAAGCTAGCATCTGCCAGTTTCTAAATACTGGGGACCCATTCTGTACTTTTTTAACATAAAACTTTGGTGAACTCAACACCTCCAGGTTCACATTGCTGGTGAGAAGATTCTCTGGAAGGCTAGTGACTGAAAATACCATTCCATTCTGTGTTTTTTTTTTTTTTTTTTTGAGGTATAGTGACAAATTTAGGCCAAAGCAAGTGTAATTTTCACGATGGAAAGGTCAACTTGGGATTAAAAATGAAGCTTATCAACTTGGGGAGTTTTCTATGTACAAGTGAACCAGTGATATTAAACACAAAGTGGTGAAAAATGATCCTATTTGATGAGAATTTTTTAAATGGACAGTAATTTTTTTGTTTTTTTCTTTGGGGCTGTTGTGTGTGATTGGCAGCAAGCCCCAAAATCTTGTTTTGCCACTTTCCCTTTTGTGCCAGGATAATGAGCCACAGAGCCACATGTCACAGAAAAGGGGCTTTAGGCCCAAGTCAGGGTTGCTTGTTTAAAACTTATGATGGCCTAAGGTATATACAGGCTGACAGGAAATAATAATAAAAAAAGGTAGCAGAAAACATCAGGAGGGCTGGACGTGGCTCCTGGCATATAAAGTCCAGATTTCAAAGTCAGTGAGCACACAGCTGAGCAGCTTTTAAACGCCTTTTAAAGTTGGTTTTGAAAGTACTGGCAGGGCTGCAGCTCCTCACATCGTCAGGCAGAGTGTTCAACTGATTTGTAGCTTTTACAGAAAAAGCTGATTGCCCCAAATGCAGTGTGACAAATGGTATGTTACAGTCTCTAATACTGACAGAGTATACACAAGGTCACACAGCGAAGAAGGGGCCAAACCATTTAGAATTTTATAAACTGGCATGGATTTGAAAATAAATTGTACTTCTCCAGTATCCTACAGTGATGAAAAAGCAATGGCTTTTTGTCCAGCGTTCTCAAGGTCTGTTTCCATCTCATCTGAAAAGGCAGGAGAAGATTTTTTATTGATGCCAGAGAGCAAAGAGTTGCAATAATCTAAACGACTTATATTCGAATATATGAATAGCAAGTTCCAGATGTTAGTTGGAAAGGAATGATCTGATTCTGGAGACATTCCTGAGATAGTGGAAGCCGGATTGAACTACTGAATTTACATGTTTGCCTAAACTGAGAATTTGATCAAAAATGACACCAAGATTTCTGCAATGTGAAGTTACTGAGTCGGACAGAGAACCTGTTTGATATTTGAATATTTGCACTATCATGTCCTGTGATCAGTATCTCTGTCTTGTCAGCATTAAGCTGCATGAAATTTTGTGACATCCACTTGTGAATGTCACTGCTGCTTAAAGCTCAAATTTCGATCCAGAATCATGTCAAGATATTTGAAATCATTGACGACGTCAGTCCTTTGACCTTCAATACAAATGTCAACATTAGGAAGTTGTACTATGGTTTTAGAAAAAAGGAAAAAAAAACTTTTGTTTTATTAACGTTCAGACTCAGACATGACCGCTGAAGCCATTGTGTAATTTTTATCTTATGCGGTTGTTATTTTGCTTGCTGTTTACTCAGCTGTTTTTGCATGTGTGTACACAACTGTATCGTCTGCGTATATTTGTATTTCTATATTATGACCCTGTTTTGAGAGCTTGTTAATGTAAATGCAAAATTACAGGGGACCCAACATGGACCCTTGTGACACACCTATTGTACACTTCATGTTACTGGAGAGTGCATCACAAACTTTAACACACTGCACCATATCTGAGAAAAATGAAGACATCCATGCCAGTGCTGAAGATGAGAAGTTCAATCTGACAGTAAAACATTATGGTTGACTGTATCGAATGCTTCACACAAGTCCAAAAATACAGCACCAACCACTCCTGAGTCATTGAGCCTTGATTTAATTTGCTCTATTAAGTGCAAAGTAGCACCAAAAGTACTTGTATTAAGAAATGTTGCATATAAACAAGTATACACGGCACACACTTCAATGTTACATAACTATATTTATTTCATCAGCCCTTAATTTTGCCCTCAGGCTAACAATAACTGCAAAAGCTAATATTTGAACCAGGTAAAGTTGCAGTTTGATGAGCTAATGCTACTTCAGATGAGCTTCTCCATATTGTGAGCCATTTTCACACAGAAATGATATTATTTTAGACTTGCTTTTTGAATGATGGGTGTGTAAGTAGGCAGCTCTAATATTAGCCACAGCTACTTTATAAAATGTGTTTTCAAACTGCTCTGCTGAAAACAAGCGGACAAAAACTCAACTAATGCAGCTTTAACTTTCAACGACAAAAATTACACTAAATGTTCAGCATCTGTTGAAAAATGTTTATTTCTGACTTACTTTACATTGGGTTGCTCTGCATTATGTATAAACCACATTTATTTTAACTCAGCAGTAAGATGCCCCTTTATTTTCTCTTTAATGTTGCCATAACTTCTGATTTTAATGGATGGATTTCTTGTAGAGATAAACTCTCCCGCTAATGTATCGCTCCTCCTGCTGCAGGTCCTTGACTCTCTCAGCATTCAGATGTGGGTTTTCCATGTATTTGTCCGTCTCTTTGACTCCTACTGGACTCCACAGTCCCTCGTCATCCATCAGCTGCAGCTCTCTCTCCAGTTCCTTCCTGTATTCGATTGATGGTGTTGTTGTGTGGTCACCTCTCGAAATGCAGACAAAACCTCCTGTAGACAAACAATGTATTTAGTTATAGTTAGTTTTATACTGGAGGAAGCATATTATCTGTAAAACCCTTCTAAATACTCACACATGAGATTAACACAACCATTTAAAAAACACAGATTCCAACTCTAACAGACTGTTAGAGCTCCAAGAACATCAGAAGCTTTACTTTGTCTTATCTACAGTAAATCTGGTGCTTTATGTACCTCATCAGGTCACTTCACCATCTATTGACTGACTGAACACTGACAAGAAAAGACAAGACATTTTCTCCTAGAAATTATTTCTATATTTTAAAAACTTGCAACTCGTAGCTGTAATAAGGTTTAATGTTTATGGCTCTGTTTGCACACTTAATTTTTTAACCTGCTCATGAAAGACTGGTGGACACTGGTTTGAATTTGCTTTTTCAGCCCTGAGTTCTGTCTGCAGGTCTTTCTTCTCAAGCTCCATATGGCCCCAACAACCTCAGTGTCCCCCTCAACTCCTGTGGTCATCACAGTCTTGGTGGTTGTTGATTCAGAGGTCAGAAACCAGACTAAAATGCTACATATTCTTATCTGGAGCTAGTTACCTGGTTTGGCAGCATCGCAGAACTCCCTGACAACACTGACCGGGATTAAACCAACACCCATACCACCGGTGACGATCACCACATCAAACGTATCTGAAACCAGGAAAAAGAAGGAGGAAGAAGAGCCAGGTTTAGTTTCCAGAAGTCATTGTTTTAACACTAAAAGATGAGCAGTGAGTGTATGCAATGTGAGTGTAGTGTACCAGTCGGTGCAGGCAGTGGTTCTGGTCCCAGTAGGGCCAGTTTGAGGTCCTGATAGAGGCCAGTCTTTGCAGCTTGTTCCAGCATGCCTTTACTGCCATCCACTCCCACAAAGTGCCTGAAGCCCCGTTCAGCCATCTATAAATGAAGAAGAAGACGACCAACATTAACACTTTTTAATCCCTAATAAGTGAGACTTTTGTCTGTTTGTCTGTCTGTCCCGTGCTCCAACAGCTTCTGCAGGGACAGGATGTGTCCAGTCTACAAATACAAGAAGAATGCAGTCAACATTAACACTGAATCATAAAAACTGATCAGAGCTTACAGGTGAATACATTCAGGATCACACTTTATTTCACTGGTCCATAATTCCCTCATGATTCCATACACACTGTCCTGGAAGGAATTCTGTAATTTAATATCAGTGCAGTGAAACTTAATGGTGGGCTGTATGACCAAGAATTTTTTGAAGATTTTGGCAGTTTGACGGTGTATCTGGGGGATTTTTTTCTTCTCCTGTTTATGGCTTTATAGTTGCTTTTCTACTTTCAAGAGTCAGGCTGTGCTCACAAACTGTTCATGTGTTTTCCTACTAAAAGTTATGCACCCAAATTCATACAAAGCCCACGTAATTTAAAAAATTGCGATCATGTGACCTCTGTAACTTTACACTAAGTAAAGTTCTTTTCTGATCTTGGATGTACTGTAGTGACGGAGCCTCTCCAAGCTGTCAACAGACTGTTATGAGTTGTGTTGTTAAGTAACCAAAATCCTACATCTTCCAAACGTCTCATGCTAAAGTCCTTTTGGCATAGAAACATTCAGTCTGTAGGTGTGGAGAACAAAACCCAATGTTGGGATTCACTGGACCACAGATGATTTGTCATTTGTTAAATTCTGAACAGGATATATGAAGCCGTGGGTTATTTTTTGTTGTGTTATAAAGTCAACTGAAGGGTTCGTTCTTAATATGGGTCTCCTCTCAATGCACTTATCACAGGTTGCCCTGACCATATTGCTCTTCATGGTGAAGATTATAATATATTTTGCTACCTGCTGAAGAGTTGCAGCAGCAGATTCATCTGTGCACCAGTATGGAGGTGTATGACAAATGCATATTGTACAGGAAATCACAGCTGCTTTAAGCAGATCAATCACTGTGATTTTCTGCTGTTGTATCACCTGAAACTCAGACTTTCCTGTCTGCTTGGTTTAATCGATTACCACTGTTGGACTTTCAAAATGAATTATTCTCTGTCAGCTCTTTGATTTTAAAGCTCACCAGTTTAGTGACCAATCCGGACCCACAGGCGACGTCCAGAACCCGAGCTTCTTCAGGACTCCCAGAGAAGTTTTCAGACAGGAAGTCTACTGCCAGCTGTGGTGCTCTGTAGCTCAACAGGGTGACATCCTGTTTTTTAAAAAGTGAAATTCTCCAGTTGGAAGTGGTTTTTGCTGCAGGGTTGAATATTTTCAGGACATTTACTTGAAACAGAGTATATTTACTCTGTGGTACTTTAAGTGAAGAGAAATATCTGAATACTTCTTCCTCTACTGGTTAATAATATCTTCTTTTGTTTAATTTGATATGTTGTCTGTTTTATTGTTACTTTAATGAATAATCTATTATCTGAACAACAAATGAGCCTTTTGACGAAAAATCACTATTATTTACAGTGATGTTTAGTACTGTACATTGCTTATTTCCACATCCAACAGTCACAGAAAAACATAATGCATGTAAGTTCAATATTCTTTCTCTTTTAGCTCTGTTTTTGGTCTCCACCAGCAAAAGCAAAACTAGGAGCTCAAAGAGGCCAAAAGGCTCTGTAGTACTGCAGAGATTAAAAAACAAATATTGATTTCACAGCTCTTTAAGTCCTCATCAGGAATCACTGAAACTGACCTTTTCATAGTTTTCTACCCAGTTGTCGTAGAACTCAGCTTGATCTTTTGGATCAGAACTTTTACAGGACTGAAAAGCAACCCTGGCATCGGTCTGAGTTCTGCAAGGGACCGACATGATGAGGTGATGAACCTGCCACAAAGAGACCATGGACATGATTACATGCGATTTTATAGTCAGACAATGAAACTGTGACAGCAGTCAATGTTAAGTCACTTAACAGGAGCTCTCTGACACACTAAAGATGTTTTATCTAGCAGCAGTTATCCAATCAAGAGCTCAAAAAATTCCCTCAGCAGAAAATACTTTTAGGCTCCACTGCTTTGCAGTTATGAAAATGGGAAAGTTGGATTCAGCCAACTGGAGTACCAAGCCCCGCCCACCGGCTGGGTCACAAAAGGTCTCATTTCACAGCGCCATCACAGCACTGAGACTGCACTCATAGAGGTAATAAATGACAATTGCCTGACCGCTGACTCAGGCAAAGTCTCTGTTTTAGTGCTGTTGGATTTAAGTGCTGCTTTTGACACAGTGGAGTGAACCATTTGTTATAAAGACTAGAAAAGTGGGTCAGACTCGCTGGAACTGTCCTTAAATGGTTCAAGTCATATCTTCATGACAGAAAGTAATTTGTCTCGATCCATAATTATAGTCAGAGCAGATGGCTGTGACATGTGGCGTCCCACAGGGCTCCATTTTGGGAACCCCCTTGTTTTATCTAAATATATACATATACATATATATGTGTGTATATATATATATATATATAAATACATACATACATACATACATATATATGCTAGGCTTCTGCCAGTTTGAAAATTTTCCAACCGGTGTGATTTAAAGCCAAATATCTAACCGAACCGATATATCGAATTACATACCTAATTTTACCACTGGGGGTCACATTTGAGCTATTTTGACCAATAAAAGCCCATTATAGGTGTAATGCGCTTCCAATCCACTAGGTGGCAGTAATGCTGTATTAACCGCCAATACACACAAGGTTACACAAGAAGAAGAAGACACAGAAGGACACCAAGGAACCTTCCTCCGAAGAGACACAGCGGTTGAGAGGGCTGAGTGAGAGGACGTTTCCTGCAGTAGTTCCAGCCCCCCAGATAGTACCAGGAACTTCTTCAGTGGAAATGGGTTACTAGGGCAACAAACTGAATGACCGCTGACTCCCTCGCACTTTTCCACGCCACCAATGAAATTAGATCTCTCGCAGCAGCAGCAGACAGCTGAGCGGAGCGGAGCTGCAGAGTCCCTCTGAAGCCTCTGAGACAAACTAAACAAAACACTTGTAGGCTCCTCTACTTCATTTATAAATAAAGTAATAATAAGTTGTCATAATGCATATTACAATGCAAGATAAGTTGAATATAGTCCCTTGACACGCCGCTGATGTGAAAAGCTTTTTTTTTTTTTCTCTCCTCCGGTTTATCCGGTTGACATGAATTAAACTGGGTGGAGCTCTTAAACCGGACCGAACCGGTTAAACTGGAAATCGGCACAAGCCTAATTTATGCTTCTGTAAGGCCAAATCATACAAACTACTAAATTAGCTGACCATAATTATGCAGATAACACGCAAATATACATATCCCTTTCACCAGGTGATTATAGACCTGTAGAATAAACCAGTGTCACTGTATTGAGCAAATCAGTGATTGGATGCATCAGTTTTTTTCCCAACTCAACAGAGATAAGATCGACATAATTGTCTTTGGGCCGCAGAAAGAAAGACTGAGTGTCAGCTCTCATCTTCAATCCCCCTCTCTTATAACTGAGTCAAGCAAGAAACTCTGGTGTTATCCTGGACTCAGACTTAAATTTCCACAGCCACATCAAATCCACGATGTCATTTGTCTACTACCATTTAAAAAACATTCCTAAAGTCAGAGGAATAATGTCAAAGCAAGACCTTGAAAGGCTCACCCACGTCTTTATTTCCTGTGGGTTAGATCACTGCAGTGGTCTGTTTGCAGGCCTTTCAGAACAAGCAGTTTAGGAACTTCAGGTTAGTCAGAATGCTGCTGCTAAGGTCCTGTTCTAGAATAATTGCACTGGTTACCTGTCACTCAGAATATTGATGCCAAAATCTTGCTGCTTGTGTATAAATCACTCTGTGGCTCAGCGCACAATTAAATCTCTGACGTGCTTGTGACTTATGATGAGAGTTGGAACAAAACATGGTGAAGCAGCATTTTGTTATCATGCAGCACAAACCTGGAATAACTTTCCAGATGATGTTAGACAAGCCCCAACTTTATATATTCTCTCTTTAATCTTTTATATTCTGTATCCTTATTATGTTTTATATTTTATTGCTCTGAAAAGAACTTTGAATTGCCCTGCTATATGAAATGTGCTACATAAATAAAGCTGCCTTACCTTGTACTGTAATGATAAAAGCAAATGTGCGATTGATCTCACTCCTTTTTTAGACAAAATTAAACCAGCTGAAGTTTTGCCCAGTTTTGTGAAGCTCGCTGCTATGGGGTGCCGTTAGTAGCTCACGTTGAAAATAACATCAACATTTTGCCACATTTAGCTTCAAACAATGTTATCAAGCTAATCTACGATAACCATGTTATTAATTACAAAACGTGCACACAGAAATAGTAATGTTTGTTCAATCATTGTGTTTATAGACTTTACAAACATCAGATTAGTCTAAACGGTGATATAGTGACGTGGAAAATGTGAGATATAGATATATATAGCTCTGCTGGTTTTCTACTCGGAAGTATTTGTAAACAACATGGCGATTCCCTCTTCAAATAAAATTTCTCCAAACATGTTTTTTTGTTATTTTAGGTAGTTATTATCACGCTAATGTATGTTCAAGTGTTCATTTCCCCCGATAAGTTGGTTTTAATTCGTTATTTGATTCTATAAGGACAGACTTAACATATTTAGTTTCACCCAGAACATTTACATTTAACATTTAACATTTAGATTTAGATTTAGCATTTAGATTTAGATTTAATATTTAGATTTAGGGCGGCACGGTGGTGTGGTGGTTAGCACTCTCGCCTCACAGCAAGAGGGTTGCTGGTTCGATCCCGGGTGTGGGAGCCCTTCTGTGCAGAGTTTGCATGTTCTCCCCATGTCAGCGTGGGTTCGCTCCGGGCGCTCCGGCTTCCTCCCACAGTCCAAAGACATGCAGATTGGGGATTAGGTTAGTGGATAACTCTAAATTGTCCGTAGGTGTGAATGTGAGCGTGAATGGTTGTTTGTCTCTATGTGTCAGCCCAGCGATAGTCTGGCGACCTGTCCAGGGTGAACCCTGCCTCTAGCCCGATGTCAGCTGGAATAGGCTCCAGCCCCCCCGCGACCCTCAAGAGGATGAAGCGGTTAGAATTTAGATTTAGGATTTAACTATTCAATATATTTCTAAGTTAACAAATATTGCTGTAAATGTGGTAAAAGGTGACGTTAAAAAATTCACAACACTTTTTAAACATTGTTTGAAGCTAAATGTGGCAAAATGTTGATGTTATTTTCAGCGTGAGCCACTTCACAAAAGGCATCCCATACGCTGCTGCTTGCAGCTGTGATTTTGCAGTTGAGCTGCTTCCGTCTGTTGGCAGAGAAATGTCTTGTACCTGGGAGTGCCACTTGCAGCTTTATTAGTAGTTTTAATTCCTATAAGTAAAAACATGAGTACATGAATCAAACCTGAATATTAAAACAGCATTAAAACAGCTTCTACTCACCTGCAGATGAATCCAAGTGAAAAACTTGTGTGAAGTTTCAGACAGTTAGATCTGGAGGAGGAGAACTGAGCTGCTGACCAGCTGAAGCGGTGCACACAGGAACATGTATGGTCCTCTTCTCTCTCTTACTCTTATAACCCTCAGGGTTGGCCCCTATAATGACCTGACTTGGTTTTCTGGTTTGTTTAGTTTCGGATAACCAATAAATGCTTCAGACATACTTTTTATATGTTTTACATTACTATTATTATTGTTATTTGCATTCAGATTTTATATTTAATTGTTTATAGTGTTTCCTTTTTATACACATGCTCCTAATTACTCTATATTTTTTATTTATTTTATATTCTTTGTTATGCACCAATGCACCAAGCCAAATTCCTTGTATGTGAAAACCTACTTGGCAATAAAACGGATTCTGATTCTGATTCTGAGATGTTTGCTCATCTGTGGTCATTGCTCAGATGTGTCGTTTTGTAACTACGTTATTACTGCAGGTTAACAGTTCACCATCAGTGTGAATTAGGACATCAGCTTCCACTGAGAGATCAGTAATAGCTTAGAGATTCAACACTTAGATCTGGAGGAGGAGAAGTGAGCTGTCCAAACAGCTAAATTCACAGCCCCCCAACTCTCACTCCTGTAACCCTCAGGGTCGGCCCCATCATGTCTTGACTTGGCTGTTAGGCCTGCTGGACTAGTTTGGTTTCAGGTAACAAATAAATGCTTCAGATGTGTGTTCCTCTGTGTGTAAGACTACTTTATTACTGCAGGTTAACAGTTCACCATCAGTGTGAATTAGGACATCAGCTTCCACTGAGAGATCAGTAATAGTTGTTCTGTGATCAGTCCAAATATTTATCATCTCTGTCTCAGTAGGAGGAATATTTATTTAACATCATCCCTCATTTCTCTCTCCTTTGATTGAATCAGGAATGGTTTCAAACCTTTGTTTGTAAATGTCTCCGTTTGATCAGGAATATCCTGTCAGACAGCTGAGCTCTGATGTCACAGTATGATAGATAAGATATTATCTTAATATTTGTTATCACAGAAATTTGTCTGTATGAAAAATGTGAGTATGTCTCAAGAATAAATAATGGTGGTTATCATGATGGCTCTCCCTGTGTATGTGTATATGTTTCTTAGACCCTGACACACGTGTATTTAATTCAATTGAATTTATTTATAAAGCCCAATATCACAAATCACAATTTGCATCAGAGGGTTCCCCCTCTGTCCTTTGGACCCTCACAGAGAATAAGGAAAAACTCCCCAAAAAACTTTAACAGGGAAAAAAATGGTAGAAACCTCAGGAAGAGCAACTGAGGAGGGATCCCTCTTCCAGGACGGACAGACGTGCAATAGATGTAGTACAGAACAGATCAGCATAATAAATTAACAGTAATCCGTATGACACAATGAGGCTGAGTTAGCAACATGCAGTAACCGGACGTAAATGTTAGCAAATGAAGAAAAACCAACTTTTCAGAAACTAAGGAGAGAGAGAGAAGGAGAGAATGTGTTTAGTTTATTATAGGAGGTCCCTTGGCAGATTAGGCCTAAGTCAGCCTAACTAGGGGCTGGTACAAGGCAAGCCTGAGCCAGCCCTAACTACACTGAACAAAAATAGAAATGCAACACTTTTGTTTTTGCTCCCATTTTTCATGAGCTGAACTCAAAGATCTAAAACATTTTCTATACACACAAAAGACCATTTCTCACAAATATTGTTCACAAATCTATCTAGAGATAATCCATCCCACCTCACAGGTGTGGCATATCAAGATGCTGATTAGACAGCATGATTATTGCACAGGTGTGCCTTAGGCTGGCCACAATAAAAGGCCACTCTGAAATGTGCAGTTTTGCTTTATTGGGGGGGTCAGAAAACCAGTCAGTATCTGGTGTGACCACCATTTGCCTCACGCAGTGCAACACATCTCCTTCGCATAGAGTTGATCAGGTTGTTGATTGTGGCCTGTGGAATGTTGGTCCACTCCTCTTCAATGGCTGTGCGAAGTTGCTGGATATTGGCAGGAACTGGAACACGCTGTCGTATACGCCGATCCGGAGCATCCCAAACATGCTCAATGGGTGACATGTCCGGTGAGTATGCTGGCCATGCAAGAACTGGGATGTTTTCAGCTTCCAGGAATTGTGTACAGATCCTTGCAACATGGGACCGTGCATTATCATGCTGCAACATGAGGTGATGGTCGTGGATGAATAGCACAGCAATGGGCCTCAGGATCTCATCACGGTATCTCTGTGCATTCAAAATGCCATCAATAAAATGCACCTGTGTTCGCTGTCCATAACATAAGCCTGCCCGTACCATAACCCCACCGCCACCATGGGCCACTCGATCCACAACGTTGACATCAGCAAACCGCTCACCCACACGACACCACACACGCTGTCTGCCATCTGCCCTGAACAGTGAAAACCGGGATTCATCCGTGAAGAGAGCACCTCTCCAACGTGCCAGGCGCCATCGAATGTGAACATTTGCCCACTCAAGTTGGTTATGACAACGAACTGCAGTCAGGTCGAGACCCCGAGGAGGATGACGAGCATGCAGATGAGCTTCCCTGAGATGGTTTCTGACAGTTTGTGCAGAAATTCTTTGGTTATGCAAACCGATTGCTGCAGCAGCTGTCCGGGTGGCTGGTCTCAGACGATCTTGGAGGTGAACATGCTGGATGTGGAGGTCCTGGGCTGGTGTGGTTACACGTGGTCTGCGGTTGTGAGGCCGGTTGGATGTACTGCCAAATTGTCTGAAACGCCTTTGGAGACGGCTTATGGTAGAGAAATGAAAATTCAATTCATGGGCAACAGCTCTGGCGGACATTCCTGCAGTCAGCATGCCAATTGCATGCTCCCTCAAAACTTGCAACATCTGTGGCATTGTGCTGTGTGATAAAACTGAACATTAGAGTGGCCTTTTATTGTGGCCAGCCTAAGGCACACCTGTGCAATATTCATGCTGTCTAATCAGCATCTTGATATGCCACACCTGTGAGGTGGGATGGATTATCTCGGCAAAGGAGAAGTGTTCACTAACACAGATTTAGACAGATTTGTGAACAATATTTGTGAGAAATGGTCTTTTGTGTGTATAGAAAATGTTTTAGATCTTTGAGTTCAGCTCATGAAAAATGGGAGCAAAAACAAAAGTGTTGCGTTTATATTTTTGTTCAGTGTATAAGCTTTATCAAAGAGGAAAGTCTTTAGTCTTAAATGTGGAGATGGTGTCTGCCTCCTGGACCGCAACAGGAAGATGATTCCACAGGAGAGGACCAGCATCAGGAAAATTCATCTCTGATGCAATATTCTAATGTCTCCTGCAGTTATTGTGTTCACCATTTAAGTTAACTGTCCAGTTTATCAGTTGCTATTTACTATTATTGTTATGCATTAAAGATCATATGAAATATCCATAAAATATGTCACTTAGTCAGGTGTCCCTTAAAGAAAATATTTGGGGACCACTGGCTTAGATGGTTAACCACACCTGCCATCACAGAGCTTGTTAGTCTATTACTGTGCACCATGTATGAATTGGCCCTGAAGGCCCTGCATCACACCTGGGGTTCCGTAAAGACGCTGGCCCAGAACAGACAAGATGGAGATCCTTTGTTGCTGCCCTACATGCCAGCCAGCATAAAGGGCAGTAAGTAAAGTAAGTAAGTATGTATGAATTGAAGTGTGGTTTCAACTTTTCAAACATATCAAGTAGGATCCAAACCTTCTGTCGTATGGAGTGAGTGTGCAGGCAATACTTCCTTTCCTTCATGAAATGATAATGTAACATGACCCTACAGTGTGGTTTCATCTTCCAGGAACACTGAGGTTAAAGTGAAAAGTGTTTTGCTCACCAGTTTAGCGACCAGTCCAGACCCACAGCCAACAACCAGAACACAAGTATCCTCATGACTGCCAGTGAAGTGGGCATTCAGGAAATCTACCAACAGATTTGGTTTCCTGTAGTTAAACAACTTCAAATCCTGGTGATGTAAGTTCTCAAAACTGACACTGTTAGGAACAGTTACAGAAAATGTAACTCATTATAATTGATCAGTTAGATCAACTGATGTGGTGCGGCCATCTCCAGTCACCTCTCTGTTAGCTCCTCTAAATTTGTGCTAAATTTATGCTCTTATGTGTATGTTGTAGTGTTAGTGGTGCTTTTTGTGGTTGGTGTTGGACGGTGGTGGCACGTGGCTGCGAGTCACTCATCAGGATGAGGAAATCAGCTGTAGACTCTCAACTTGATGACTTGTGCGAGCTGGTCAGACTGAGGTTTTTAAATGTGAACACCAGTAAACATGGACGTTGACATGCCTGTTAAAAGAAATGCAAGTCTGTGTGTGTTTTTCTATTATATATACTGTACATAATATAGATATATATATATATAGTTATACATACACACACATATATTGTCAAGTTATTAGCTTTTTCTTTCAACTTCTGCCCAACTTGAAATGGCCTGGCTCCATAAACCCCAAAGGACACTAGGACAACTCTTTCATTCCAACTCAACATTCATTTTATTTTCTTGTTTTGGTGATAGGTTGGTTGGATTTCATCAGGTTGAAAACCTTCAAGACATAAAAGAAACAACAAATTAGGTACAGGTTATACAAACCCATAAATAAAATTATTCTCCAACCAATTTCCTTAGTGGAATATTTTTTACAGTGAATAAGTCAAAATGAAAGATACAAATCTATGATATAAATCAATGATCGATTATTTTAACTGTTTCAACTATTTAATTGTTTTAACTTTATAGTCACAAATATTTTACATTTAATACCTGTTTTAATATTGACTTGACTGGATTTATACAACATGGATTTACCCACAAACATTTAAAAAAAATGTTTTTAAACACCTATTTTTCACTTTAACTTTTAACTTTTTAACTTAAAGAGCTGCACATTACCCCCATAATCAAAACCCAAACTTAAATCCATGCAGCCACTGTTTGCCTAACAACTGTGCCAGTAATTTCAGTATTAACACAAATATTTCTAACATCATCATAATCAACATCACATATCATAAATTCAGTGTCTTTTAACGATACCAGAAACGTCTTTGGGAGGAACCACAAGTTGAATTGCCTTCTTCTGTTGAGATGTTTCTCCATTCCCAGTGCAGGGTGAGTGCTGCTTGTCTCACAGGTGTCCTCACTTACAGAGATGAGCAGCCTGATCTGCTCTGCTCTGCATTGCATTATGGGACTTGTAGTTAGTTGTAGTTGTGGAGGGTTTGAAGTGAAGTGAAGTGGTTTGATTTGAATCTTTTGCATCTCAGATTTACATGAATGCACACATTTTTTTAAAAAAAGTTTTATATTATTCAGGGGAGTTGGATTTTAAATATACTTTTTGTGTAACTTATTTTTTCAAAGAAGACTTTTTGACACCTGAAGCTGATTGGAGTCAGCATTTATCATTGGTTGAATAAACTACCAAACACATTCATAAAATTGTAATAGGCTAATTTGGGATCTCTCTCATGATGAACATTTTCCCATGAGAGCTGGACTGTTGGTTTGTATGATGTATCCATGACAACGTACAGAGCTGACCATAATAAGGCTGTGTGTCACAAACAGTAGTAAAAACCCCAGTTGAGACACATATTCCAAATGTGCTGTATACATCCCCAAATAATGTGAATCCTATGATGTTGATCCTCTTTGAATGTTTCTCCAGAAATGTTACAGCTGGGTGAAGCAGCAAAGGCAGGTAGGACCCAAATGCAGACTCATAGGCTGGCTGATTCAGAAGAAATACTGTAAAAAACAGGCATTCAGGCAGATGAGATGACAACCAGGCAGGCAGGAAAAATCAGCAGGAAAACCCCAAAACACAAAGAAAGCACAACTAGCTGGTGACAATGGCAGGTTTATACACTGACCAGGGTGATGAGGTAACTGGGAAAAGGTGTGTGAGTGTGGAGGGAAGCCCAGGTGATATGGGGTGCCGTTTGTGAAGTGGCTCACACTGAAATTAACAGCAACATTTTGCCACATTTAGCTTCAAACAACGTTTCAGAAAGTGGTGTGAATTTCTTAAAGTCAAAGTTTTTTACCACATTTACAGTAATATTTGAAATATGTTAAATATAATGTCACAGTTAAATCTAAATATTAAATGTTAAACCTGAATGTTGAATCTAAATCTAAATGTTAAATCTAAATCTAAATGTTAATGTTGAATGCAAATGTTGAATCTAAATCTAAATGTTGAATCTAAATCTAAATGTTAAAATCTAAATGTGCTTGTTGAAACTAAATATTTAGCTAATATGCAAATGCACACTGCCAGCCACTGGAAGTACCAAAATAAAAGCCCAGGTGGTCCGACTGTGTTTATAACATCAAATAAAGAATTAAAACCAAACTAATCGGAGAAAACTTGAACATACATCAGCGTGAAAAGAACTTTCACCAAGCACATTTAGATTTAACATTTAGATTTAACATTTGATATTTAGATCCAGCTTTAAAATTTAGAAAACTCTTCTTCAGGCTAACTTGAAACGTGTCGCAGAGTGGCAGAGTGGACTGCATGTTTAAGCCTGTATGTGTTTTTTGGCCTGCCTAACGCTGTTTGCTGCAGATTTGAGCCATTAAAGCCTTTGGAAACACAGCTTGAAATAGTAAAAATGCATATATTATATCAAAGTTGAGTGTCTCATTAATCATCCACAAAAGTCTGAGTGAAAATAACCATTAATAACTATTAGAAAACCTGGTTTAAAAACAGCTCATTTTGCTGTTTAGACCACTTGCCAGGACAGAGTGGGCGTGGCAGATAACGCTCTGATTGACAACTCCCTCGTTTTGATTGACATCTCCATGGCTCAGCAATGGCTGCCACAAATTTAATCCAGCAGTACATGTTTGAGCCCTCTGATGATTCAGAGGACGAAGCAGAAGCCCTGCCAGCTGAAAATGATTCCTTTCAGGTTGTCACTGAATGGTAAGTTTCAAAATGTTTTGTGATTCATATTAATGTTACTTCATACAATAGTTAGCACAACTTTTACATGCAATGTTAGCGGAGATGAATGACAACGGGAGGCTAGCGCTTTGCCTTTCTTCATTGAGATACGTTTTCATTGAAAACATAAATCTGCTCCGTTTTTCTGATAATAGCCTCCAGTCTTAATAGATTAAATATGTCTTTACTTTACACACACTTTACACACACTTTACACACACTTTACACAGAGACTGGTGCCGGCCGGCCGTCTCTCTGGCGTTGTGTAGAAGTATTTGCCCGCCTCGAATAATGTTCCCCTCCGGCTAAAATTGTGTTGTTTCCCCCAGCATCACCTCCGCGATTGGGGATATGTTTATGCGTAGCAAAGCTAACTGCTTGGGGTTGGGGTTAGGGATGAGGAAGAGTGCACATAAAATCCCCTCACCGAGAGCCAACACCGGCACCGGGCCCGGGGGGCAAGCCCGGCCGCTCACAAGCCGCCTCTTCCTGCAGCTCCACGAGCTGCAAAGGCTCTGGAGCCGGTCAACCTGATGTGAGTGCTGCTGGGAGCCCGCCGGAGGCAGAACCTCCGCTGGGTCGCAGCCGAGTGGTTCAGCCAGTTTACGATCTGTATTTTCTAAACATCAGACTAGAAAGCTGTTTGTTGGCTCAGACTCAAAGAGGCAGATTTAGCTGGAGCAGAAAGGTTTTGTTGCGCTGCCACTGGGGGCGGGATGAGACAACTGACGGATGATTTATATTGGTTTGGAATTTATTGCGTAATAAATCTTAGAGATAACCACGGCCAAATCAAACCCAATTTCAAGAATGTACAAAAACTTAAAAGACAGATATTTCGAATTTGGATGGAAACTGATTTCTAATTGTTTTTACATGTTTAATATTATGTACATAAGACTCTAAATTACATAGTTAGAAGGCTATTGTGGATTTGGGTTTCCAGAGGCTTTAAAGAATGTGTTCGTTGCTTCACTGTGGCTTCCCTCATCTTTCCTTTTTGGAAATTCGACTAGAACTCAACAGGATGGTAAAATGAAAACAGGTCAAACACAGAATTAAAGTGAATTACAATACACACTGTGGGTTTTTCTTTAAATGTATACATTTATTGTCATGATTGCATGAAAAACATACATTAAATGATAATTATTTAGCCTTTTGTATTTAATGACTGAATGTTTATCATTGTGACTGAACTTTCCAGGTCTGGACCCAGGCAAAGCCATGTATCAATGAAAAACTGTCCAATCATAGTTTGGGGCTTAATAGCACTGACAAGGATCAAAATGTCCTCATAAACTTTTGCGTACTTAGTGACATTATGTTGAATATACAGACCAGACCGTGAAGAAATGTATACAGGTGTAGAGTGACTAATTAAGTGACTTCCTGTACAGGTACATGGTACCACTAAGGTAATGGGCATCCTGCTCTTTTTCATAGTTATTAAAAGGGTCTATGAAGTATTTTTCCATATCTTTGGTGTCCACTGGAGTCCACAGTCCCTCCTCCTCCATCAGCTGCAGCTCTTTCTCCACAGACACCTTGTAGCTTTTGTCTGACTCTGACGCTGTATCCACTCTCGACATGCAAATGTAACCTCCTGCAGAAAAATTCATTATCAGATTAATTGTCATTACAGAAGTAGAGAAGAATATGTTTCATTATCCTCTCATAGCGTCTCCTCCTTTAAGATCCTTAGAGGTTACAGTAGAGTAGAATAGAGAGAGGAGAGTAGTAAAGCTTGAATGTCTCCAAGGGGTCATTTCATTTATAGACAAAAATCAATAATAACAAATACAGAAAAATCCGGCAGAGAAGAAAAACAACTATTAATACACAGGTAAATGCCAATGTCACTGTTGTTACTGTCATTTTTCGCCAAGACGTCAGTACAAACATGATGTTTGAGACTGAATCTTGAGGGTTGCCAACATATATGTAATATATAATAATAAACTTTATTTATTTTAACTTTTCATAACATGGGACAGATAAAACAGTATCAAGATAATAACAGCAATAAAATACATAAAAACATTGAATGTAGGCTGAGATCAGATAAAACACATTGTGTAATAAAAATAAATAAATAAATAATAAAACCGATAAATAAGGGGTAGAAACTAGACAAACACCAGATTTATTGTAAAAAGCCTTCCTGTGAAAATATGTTTTAAACAACGACACTGACTTCACAAACCAAAGTTCCTCAGATAGGGAGTTACACAGCTGGGAGGCTCTGACGGAAAATGACTGGATTCTTTTTATAATGAAACTGGCTGTGGGGACAGTTAGGAGGGCCCTGCCGGAGGAGCGCAAGCAGTGGCTAGGCTCATAGGGCTATAATGCACGTAGGAGCAAGGCCAGGTAGAGCTTTAAAAGTCATTAGCAACCATTTAAAATCAATTCTATAGTTAAAAGGTAGCTAGTGTAGCATTGCAAGGGTGGGCCTTAAATGGTCTTGTGACATGGAATTAGTTAAAAGTCTTGCAGCTGAGTTTTGGATGAGCTGGAGAGAGGGGAAATGTCCTTTCGGATGAGCCCTGAATACAGGGAATTACAGTAATCCAGATGTCATGAGATGAAAACTTGGATGACTTTTTCAAGGTCCACTTGAGATGAAAAATATTTTACTTTTGCAATGTTTCTAATTTGAAGAAAGCATGATTGCACGACCTTGGTTGTTTGTATGTTGGCACAGCGCACAGTGACAGAGATGACACCCAAATTTCAGGCAGACGGCCTTACATTAGAGGACAGGTTTTTTAAAGTCAGAAGTCAGGTCTGGGGGGGGGGTTAAAAAAAAAAGACTTCAGATTTGGACTCATTAAGCTGGATGGAGGTGTTGTGACATCTGGCACTTAATATTTGAGAGACAAGCCATAACATGAGAGAAACTGTCAGGGTCACAACCAGTCAGCGGAACATAAATTTGCGTGTCATCTGCATAACTATGGAAATTAATATTATACTGACAGATTATCTGAAAAAGATGAAGCACAAAACAGAAGAGGACCCATAACTGATCCCTGAGGAACACCACAAGAGAAGGGGGCTGGGGATGAAGAACATTTTCATGATTTTTAATTATTTGTATTAATATTCTTTCAGAGAATATGGAGCGAAACAAGGCAAGAGCACTGTTCTTAATCCCAACATAGTTTTCAAGGTGGTTTATAAGGATGCTGTGGTCTAGCGTATGAAATGCTGAACTCAGATCAAGCAGAATTAAAACTGAGCAAGCTCTGGAGACAGCGGCAAGTCGTAAATCACTGGTAACCTTAATAAAAATACTAAATCATCTGCATATAATAACACTTTGTGCTTCCTCTTTCCCAAACAGACACTTTTATACCATAAACTACAATAATCAGTGTCCATTTCAGTTTATGCTACCTCGGTAACACATGACCAGTGCTGGCAGAGTTCAAAATATCACATGCATATGCAGAGTAGTGCATGTAAAATTTGAGCTGTGCATGTAATCCTCAGCTCTACATGCACTGGTGCACGTAACTTGATATATCTGTATATATATATCCAAGTCATACATTGACCATAAAACTCATACAGTTGACACATGCTTTCTCATGCCATAGTCATGCACGCAGCATGTCCATTTGAAAAACACATTTATCAGATAACATCACAGAGTGAAAAGTGGACATTGACAGCGTACAGACAGATGAGACAGAGCAGCACAGCACGGGTCCATGTCATTGGTTCGACAGCCCATTGGTTCGACATCCTATTAGTCCGACTGTCCGTGGTGCTGAACGGCTCGCGGCGGGCATATGGTGCGCCGTGACCGGCTTGAGGCGGAGCAGGCTCACGGCTTTTTGTTTGTCACTTTCTTTTTCATTTTAACCCACACCATGATCTTTTCCTGACCCTAACCAAGTGGTTTTTGTGCCTAAACCTAACCAGACCTTAACCACAGGGCATCATGATGATTTCGGAATGGACTTCAGAACAATTCAGAACGAGTTTAATATGGTCGGAACAATGGGATGTCGAACCAATGGGCTGTCGAACCAATGGGCAGTTCCCCACAGCACAACAACAGCATCATGTAAGTTAGTTCAAAGTTGGATATTTGACAGACATTCACTCTGGACCCAGCGGCGTCTTCGTATCAGTTTCACCTAAAGTTGGCAGCAGGAGGACGGTTAGCTGATGATTTCTTATCCCCAATAACTTCGAGTGTCACATTTAGTTTCATTCATATTCACAAACAGCATTGAAAGCTGTTGTTATCAGTAACAACAGTCATAACTGAAGTTTAGAGGTCAATATTTAAGTCAGTAATATTAACTAATTAATTCATTAGTATTAATATTAAAAAGAAGAAAAGAAAAGAAGGAAAGAAAAGAAAACACCAACACCTAATATGATGTTTAAAAATCAAAGCTGCTCTAAATTTTCCAGGACCATTAAATTATTTGAAGTACTTTCAGTGTACATCACCGTAGTTTTGGTTGGATTTGGCCAAGGCTGTGGCAGAAATGTTGATAAAGAAGGAAAAATAGCTTAAACCAGAAAAAAAGTATTTTGAGCCCTGGTTGGTTACCTGGTTTGGCGGCTTGCCACAGCTCCCTGATAACGCTGACTGGCACAGAACCATCACGTAAAGCGCCGGCGATGATAACAACATCAAAAGCACCTGAAACCAAAGAGAGGAGGTGTTAGCTTATTTTATTTGTGAAAAGGTAGATCTCAGCTACTGCAGGAAAAAAAGACAACAAATGATTATCTCTTTTAGATTTGATTAAGGCTGACCCTGAATATTCGACTACTGAATCTAAGCATTTGATTAATCTGCCATCTTATAGGCCTGTACATTTCACAGAGCCAAACTCTCTGCTTCATGCTGTCCATAAGTCAGTCACATGACACTTTCGTCGTCTGCAAGGCTCATTGTGGATTATCTCTTATCTTTATGATTTTTAAGAAAGTTCTGCAGCTTCTCTTTTCTGTGATATCAAAGTAGATTTAAAGACGTTTATTCTGGATGGACATCAGAGATAATGATATTCTCATAAATTTTGGCTCTAATTCACCTCTTGCAGTCTCTTTGACTCTTCTTCAACTCTCTGACCCCTCCCTGTGGAGACTTTGGTCCTTTTTTTTTGTATTTGTCCTGCTGAAAGGCCATATCTATTACAGACCATAATATCTGATCATGTCACCATGGTTACAATGTCCTAACTGATGAGTTAAATTAAAGAGGAGCTCAGTGCAGAGTCATTCCCCCCCCCCCCTGTGATGTTCATCCTGTCTAAAGTTTCAACTGTATTCAGTGTTGATATGAGTAATCAGAGTGTATGCAGTGTGAGTGTAGTGTACCAGTCTGTGTAGGCAGTGGTTCTGGTCCCAGTATGGCCAGTTTGAGGTCCTGATAGAGGCCAGTCTTTGCAGCTAGTTCCAGCATGCTATTACTGCAGTCCACTCCAACAAAATGCTTGAAGCCCAGTTCAGCCATCTATAAACACAAGAAGAAGATGGCTAGCAGTTTTATGACAGTCTGCTGTATGAAGGGTTGTTGTGAAAAAGTCAGGAGATGTGTTGAAGTTATGTGCAGCGCACAATAAAGACCGAATCAAACGTAACGTTGGTGACGATGATGGAGCAACAACTAAAAACAAGTAAGGTATGAAATAAAACATTAACAGTAAGGCAACATCTTATTAACACCTGCTACGACCGGGTAATACAGTGAGTATTTTTCCAAGGTTCAAAATAAATAATCAGAAATGCTAACTGTACAAATAATGAAAAATTAAAGGAAGGGAAAGGGAAAAGAAAAAAAGCACATGACAATTTTGCATTCAAGAGATAAAGACAAGTAGACGTCTGTAGCCTTCTCCCCCTCTAGAAATGTCATTAAACGATCCCATACTTACCAAAAGTAGAATATTTACCCTTAATTGTAAAGGTAAGTTTTTCTAGGGCAACAGAGTGTGACAGTCCAGTAAGGTAGGTTTGTAAACTTGGTCTCATAATGGATTTCCAGAATCTGGCTGTAGTGCTTGCTTGTAGTAACCTGACACCTACGACATGTGAAGGATATCCAAAACCTCTATCCAGAATACCTGGATGTTTGGGCAGTCCCATAAGCAAGGAAATAGCGTGCCCTGTATTCCACATGTATTACATACAGTACAGGCCAAAAGTTTGGACACACCTTCTCATTCAATGCGTTTTCTTTATTTTCATGACTATTTACATTGTAGATTCTCACTGAAGGCATCAAAACTATGAATGAACACATGTGGAGTTATGTACTTAACAAAAAAAGGTGAAATAACTGAAAACATGTTTTATATTCTAGTTTCTTCAAAATAGCCACCCTTTGCTCTGATTACTGCTTTGCACACTCTTGGCATTCTCTCCATGAGCTTCAAGAGGTAGTCACCTGAAGTGGTTTTCCAACAGTCTTGAAGGAGTTCCCAGAGGTGTTTAGCACTTGTTGGCCCCTTTGCCTTCACTCTGCGGTCCAGCTCACCCCAAACCATCTCGATTGGGTTCAGGTCCGGTGACTGTGGAGGCCAGGTCATCTGCCGCAGCACTCCATCACTCTCCTTCTTGGAGCCTGGAGGTGTGTTTGGGGTCATTGTCCTGTTGAAAAATAAATGATCGTCCAACTAAATGCAAACCGGATGGGATGGCATGTCGCTGCAGGATGCTGTGGTAGCCATGCTGGTTCAGTGTGCCTTCAATTTTGAATAAATCCCCAACAGTGTCACCAGCAAAACACCCCCACACCATCACACCTCCTCCTCCATGCTTCACAGTGGGAACCAGGCATGTGGAATCCATCCGTTCACCTTTTCTGCGTCTCACAAAGACACGGCGGTTGGAACCAAAGATCTCAAATTTGGACTCATCAGACCAAAGCACAGATTTCCACTGGTCTGATGTCCATTCCTTGTGTTTCTTGGCCCAAACAAATCTCTTCTGCTTGTTGCCTCTCCTTAGCAGTAGTTTCCTAGCAGCTATTTGACCATGAAGGCCTGATTGGCGCAGTCTCCTCTTAACAGTTGTTCTAGAGATGGGTCTGCTGCTAGAACTCTGTGTGGCATTCATCTGGTCTCTGATCTGAGCTGCTGTTAACTTGCCATTTCTGAGGCTGGTGACTCGGATGAACTTATCCTCAGAAGCAGAGGTGACTCTTGGTCTTCCTTTCCTGGGTCGGTCCTCATGTGTGCCAGTTTCGTTATAGCGCTTGATGGTTTTTGCCACTCCACTTGGGGACACATTTAAATTTTTTGCAATTTTCCGGACTGACTGACCTTAATTTCTTAAAGTAATGATGGCCACTCGTTTTTCTTTAGTTAGCTGATTGGTTCTTGCCATAATATGAATTTTAACAGTTGTCCAATAGGGCTGTCGGCTGTGTATTAACCTGACTTCTGCACAACACAACTGATGGTCCCAACCCCATTGATAAAGCAAGAAATTCCACTAATTAACCCTGATAAGGCACACCTGTGAAGTGGAAACCATTTCAGGTGACTACCTCTTGAAGCTCATTGAGAGAATGCCAAGAGTGTGCAAAGCAGTAATCAGAGCAAAGGGTGGCTATTTTGAAGAAACTAGAATATAAAACATGTTTTCAGTTATTTCACCTTTTTTTGTTAAGTACATAACTCCACATGTGTTCATTCATAGTTTTGATGCCTTCAGTGAGAATCTAAAATGTAAATAGTCATGAAAATAAAGAAAACGCATTGAATGAGAAGGTGTGTCCAAACTTTTGGCCTGTACTGTATATCAGGGGTATTGGGATTACATTTATTTAACATTATTGGAGTTACATATATTCACATTATCCACTTATATTGGAGTAGTTTAAAATGGGTGTTTATGGAATGTGAGATTTTGCTATTTAAGTCCTCATACCATGCAAGTCTCTTCATTTCTGAGGAGATCTGGGAGCCGTCCATGATTGTTTTGTAGAATCCTGAAATCAGGCCCCTCTTTGAGTTGTGTTTTACAGCTATTTCTTCCACAAAAGAGAGAGTGGGTGAGGATAAGGTTTTCTGCATCTTAGATATGTAGCTGCTAATCTGCAGATATTTCAAAAAATGTTTTTGCTCGATGTCAAACTTCTGTTTCAAATCTTCAAAGGACAGGAGAGTGCCATTGTCAAATAAATCTGCTATTTTACCAAGGCCTTAATCATCCCAGATTTTGAAGCCCATATCATTCTTACCTGTCATAGTCTGCTCTGCTGCTCTCCTGTTGCTGTGGGAGTTTCCACTCACCCTGTCTTCGTCTCTCTCACCACCTCGACACACCTTCTCATCAGCAGTATCATTCACAACTGTTGCTCGTTCTCATCACCAAGCCAGTATATAAGCAGCCCTGGCTCCCTCACCTATGCCAAATTGTCTTCGTGTTATGGCTGACTCTCCAGTACTCATCGACTTTCTGGTTTTTGGCTCGGCTTGATTCTGACCACCTCTAATCATCTCTGCCCTGTTAAACGCAACAGCGTTCTGTCCCTGGCTTCGAGTTTTGCCTATGCGTTTCTCGGTTCTCGTCTGCCTGTGGCTGTGTGGCGTTATGAATTGGGTGGTAGAGGAGATGTATTGTGTTAATTGATTTTCCGTTGATGTGAAAAGTTTTTGGCTCACCAGTTTAGCGACCAGTCCAGACCCACAGGCGATGTCCAGAACCTGAGCCTCCTCACGACTCCCAGGGAAGTTGGCGTTCAGGAAATCTACCGCCAGATTTGGCTCTCTGTAGTTAAGCGTCTTCACATCCTGTTGATGTAATGGGTTTAAACATTTTATAGAGTGACAAATGTAACTAATTACATGTACAGCACATAATTTATGTTGAAACTGTTGTTAAACTAAACATGAGATGTTATTTTATTTAGACATGTCAAAAAATAATATTAAAGATTTATAGCTTTTACTCAGGATAAAAAATAAAAAAGAATTATCAGCGTGTCACCGGTAAATGAAATTCTGATTTAATTTTCTAGTGATACAGTCAGGTTATAATACATTGATTATGTTCACACAATATTCATCTCAGTACATTCAGTATTATTTTTGGCGGTATGGCTCTGTTCTGGGACTCTCTGCTTTTCCTTGGGCCTAAGCAGAAAGCCTCTCCCATGTACCTATGTTGAATGCCTAAGGCAGGGAGAACACACCTCTCTGCCCTTCCATGCGCCTACATGGAAGGTCTAAGGCAGGGAAAGCAGCAGCAAAGATCCCCAGGAACAGAACAGTGCAGCTCCAATAACAAACAGAAATGACACTGATAAGTCAGACACAGCATGAAAAGGAGGAGCTGGGGTGGAGGCAGGTTGCAAAGCAGCTTGCAGAGGAAGCAGCAACAGTAGGCAGGCCAGAGCAGTTTAAATAAGGCGCCCTGAATGAGATACGCCAAATGGTTGCATAGAAAGGAACTACCTGGTCGTACGTCTCTGCCCAGTTGTCAAAGAACTTCGCCATCTGCTGTGGATTCAAGCCTTTTCTGGACTGAAGGAGAGTCCTCACATCCTCCACAGTTCTGCTGCAGTCTGACATGATGAGGTTATGACTTCAAACCTGCCAGAGAGGAGACACATGTTCTTAACGTGACAGATGTTGACATGTAGAGTCGACAAAACAGCTTCTCCCTGCAATCTAACCTGTTCTCTGAAATCAGCTATGTTTTCTGAGTTCAGGCTTCAGGGCAGTGGTGTCCACAGAAATGTTTCTGAGTGTTGGTCAGATGGGGTCACTGAAAATCTTGTGCTGGCACACCAAAACCAAAGGTTGTAAATGAATTTGAGGAATTCTGTTACACTGTTGTAGTATATGCGCTAGTTGAAAACTGTGTGAGTATGAGAGTGAAGGAATCACATACTGATATACTTTGGTTTCTTATTTTACAGGTAATCTTACTAATAATCTGATGTGCATAGACTAACACCAGTACAGTTAATGTTTTGAGTTCCATAACAGTTGTTGGGATTCACAGGACCACAGATTATTTGCCATTTGGTAAAATCTGAACTGGACATTTAAAGGCTTCCTTCTCTGCATGCTCGTTGTTCTCCAAACAAAGACAGCTATTTGACACTCATCTCCACAGGAGGTCATCTCACACCTCAGTGAGACACCAGTCGTCACACTTGACAGTACTGTTACAGTGACATGCCCCTCTGTGATGTCAACAAACTCTAAGCTAAGTTCTGCTCCTTTCAAACAGTCCGCTCTCTTACTTGGGAACTGCAGAGAAGCCCACACCTCTTTCCGGCCGGGCCTGGACCAGCCCAGATGCTCAGACCCTTGCTCCTTGCCCTGAACCATCAAAGGTGGGGCAATTGAACACAGACTCTCTAACCTGAACCAGAAAGTTAGAGGTGCAAGCACAAGGTTTACAACTAGCTTTCCAGCAACAAGGAACTTAGTGAGTTAGCACTCAGCATCTAATTCTGCAAGGCACCCGAGCGACTGGCTTCCTCGGATCAGAACCTTTGGAATAAGGACACAGCAAGGACTGCAGCTGGAACCACAGCTCTTTCCAGCCTTCTTCTGACAGCTAACAAAGCAGCACACCACCTTTAAATACCTACACATTCCTGCTTTAATGTGTTAAGTATCTATACATGTTAGTGATTCATTGTCTCCAGGTTTATATTTTGCAGAAGAAACAGATGATAACCAGTGGTGCAAGGCAATTACACCAGGACACAGTGCACGCTATTATGTTACTAGTTATGAAACACAAACACTCACACAGCTCAGCTTATCAGTTTCGAACATAGACTGCATGGTTAAGATAGACAGCATGACAGCTCCCCAAAAGTGAATGCAAAACACCCCAATCGCCCCCTAGTGGCTATGTGCGGTCTAGGCCATAAACCCCGCCCCCTCCATGTTAACAGGTGCGACATGGGCTGAATAAAAAATCAAAGTACACATGAAATAAATTTTTTCAAAAGATGTTTGTTGTCATTTTAATTAGCTCTTATCACACTGATGTTTGTTCAAGTGTTTGTTTTTCTGATAAGTTTGGTCTTAATTAGTTATTCTTTGCTATAAAAACGGAGGTTGATGTTGATATCAAGATTTACAGCTGTGTGTGTCAATCAGTGTGGTCGGGATAAATTGCACTGCTCGTGATTGGTCATAGGAGTGCATGAGCGGGAACTCGATCCCACAGAGATACTCTATAAGTAACGGATAATGTATAGTGAGCCGGTGACAGTTGAAAAATAACTTCCCCTGAAGGGAGTTATTTTTCAACTGTCACCGGCTCACTATTCATTATCCCTTACATAACCCACTACAAGCTGTGTCAGTGATAGAAAATGGTTTACTTTTCTGGTCTCTGAGTGGGCGTGGTCGTCTCTCCCTGAACAGTAACATGTAGCAAATGTGATGTTAATACAAGAGAGACACAAACTGTGACTTCACCAACACATTTCAATGATTTGGACCATTTGACCTTTCTTTACTTTTTATATTTCATCATTTTTCAAAGATGAATCATAACTCTTAGAAAAAAAACGTGATTTCAATAATAACCATCAGAATCTGCATCTGGAAACCAAATTTGAGAATAATCATTTGAACAAATATTTAAAATACTATTAATAATAACTGTAAATGTTAGAGTTGATACCATCAGCTGGTAGTCTCGCTCACCAGACCTTACTCAAGAAAAGAAAGGTCTGGCTGCGCCGACTCTCACTTTAAGATTGGAGAAAAAAACGCCCTGGCTTTTTTTTATTTCTTTCAACCAATCACAATCGTTCTGGGCGGTGCCACAGCAATGGTGTGCTTGCAAAAATATTGCCGGGGGGAAACAGGTTTTGGTGTAACACGGCCACAAAAATATCGCCTACAGGATGCGAACCATGGCAGAAAAATGGCTACATCCCCGCAAGATCAAACACCGCAAAAGTTAGTAAAGGACGTGTTGAAAACTGCAACCGGAGGTGGTAGGGCGGGACTTCAGCGGGTGGCTCGTTCCGCCCAATGAGAGGCTGATCTATGCAGCGAACTTCCGCCCACTCAGACTAATCAGCTGGTGAATAATTTCACATTAAATTAATTGGCAATAATGTTGATGAATGATTCATTCATCAAAATAAGTAAACTGAATCTTTTTGAGTTTTGACTGTTAATCTAATAAAAAAAAGAAGAAGAAGATATAAACCAACAATATAATGCTGACACAAAAGTTGCAGCTCTAAAACAGCCTGACTGTGATGAAGTATGAAAACAGTTTGTACTCACCTGTGTGAATGGATTCAGGTAGAGAAGCAGATGTGAGAGAGAGAGAGCAGTGACGATGATCGGAGATATATGTGGACCAGAGGTGAGCTAGTCAGTCCTGATTGGCTGGCTGAACCTGCTTCAGGGGCTCCATGTCACAGAAGAGGCCACTTCAAGGACGACTCCAGGGGTTTCAGTCACTTCATGTCTCTGTTATAGTGGAGTGCTTTCACTCCATAGGTGGAACTGGTTGAGGAATGTTTAGGTTGCACTAGCCCTGGGGTGTCAGTCAGAACACACAGACAGGAGACAGCATATAGGTTTAACTGTTTAGTGACTAGTATAGTCATCCTTGATACAGCACAGTGGTACAGTAAACCAAATTATGGCCTGCTGTTGTTGGTCTGGAGCAGTGGTGTGCAGTCACGCCATCCTCCATTCCCTCTTTGATTCCTAAACCTAACCACGTGAGTTTGTTGCACGAGGAAATAACCGTAAATATGAGGTGTTTTACCGACGTTGTAAGTTTATCCTGAAAAAGACTGTATACATCTGAAGAGCAGAAACGGCACATTGCCTGTGATACTGGAGGTGTGTTTTGAAAAGACACAATGTGTGCACCAGGCATAAACTGACATGGTGTCCTGGAGCATCAACAACAGGGTAGCCCAGTATGTAGACTTCAAAAGTCCACTGAACAAGCAGCAATGTGACGAGTTGGAAGTGAGAATATGTTGAAAACCTTTGGAAGGTCTGAAAAAGCTGAACCATAGACTTAAAGTAGGAAAGGTGGAGACTGGTTTAAAGTTTGATTGAAGGTTGGAGAGTCGGCAGTCCTGTTGCATGTCGGCTGCTTGTTATCAGTGATACCAGAAAGTGGGAAAACTGGTTTTATAGATAAACTGGACCTTCCCTCCCCTGAAGGTCTTCAACTCAGCACCTTATGTAACTCCTTTTTTTCCCCTACACTCCCCGCAGCTACAAATATGGAGGCAGCTGAATATCGGCAAAGTTTCATTTATGTCAGTTTTCTTCTGTCATTATTGCCAGTGATGTGGTGGTTCACTTTTACACGTTTTCATCTGTGGCCTACAGTTAAGATTTAGCCTATAGCCTTTTTTATAATCCTTTGCTACACATCAGATGGTTCACGCCTCCACGTTGGTCATTAAAACCTGATAATGGACACCTCATTGGGCATTTAATCATCTCCTTATAATGTTAACTGTGTTACCAAAGTATTTTAGTATGCAATTCAGCAGTCATTTTGACACTTTTCAACTAGCCCATGCACTATAACAGCACAGGCCTTAGCTATTCCTGAAATTCAGTTACAGCTGGCTGGTTTCAGCAAGGTGCCTGACACCTCCTTAGCACAGCGACAGGCTTCCTGGCCCTGCTGAATCATCATGGATGCATCAGGCCCAAACAAGGCTCAACAGGCAGTTTGAGCAGACTCGCCCTATCTTCTGACTGCAGCATGGACTGTGACAGCCAGAGATGGCGCCTGGCCGCCCAAAAACTTTCCATAGCACAGCCAGCCACTTCACCCTGCGCTCTCATGTGCTTTGGAAGAAGTGAGGAGACATGTTGTAGTTCAGCTATCAGATCCCTACTACACCAGCATGCTGCCCCCTGACTAAGATTGACAGGCTAAAGCTGCCATGCCTCAACCGTGCGTAAAACAGACAGCTGCAATACACAGATATGGCACCCCTGCCTACTGTTTCACTCCTTACTGTCAAAAGAAGAAACAGCATTTAGCTATCCTCAAGACTGACCTGCAAAGGCCAGCTCTCCAACCTAAATGAAGGTAAGTGGACAAAACGCTAAACTCCTCTCTCTTTTCTTCCTGCTCTCAACTCGAATCCAACTGGTTGAAATCAAAGAATCAGTGGGTGCATGTGCAAGGTGAGGCTTTTATAGCGTGGCACATGCCGGCCACGTAAAGTGGTGTGTCTTAAAGATTATTTATTTTCCACGTCGACCACCCCCGATGGGGATAGTTCCCATAGTTACGATATAACTACTGGGTGGGGAGACAATCTGGATACAATAGAGAACTGGTTTTATAGATAAACTGGACCTTCCCTCCCCTGAAGGTCTTCAACTCAGCACCTTATGTTACTTCTTTTTTTCTACTTTCCCTGCAGCTACATATATGGTGGAAGTTGAATATCAGCAAAGTTTCCCTTTATGTTAAGTGTCTTCTGTCTTTATCGCCAGTGATGTGGTGGTTCACACTTTTTCATCTGTGGCCTACAGTTAGGATTTAGCCTGTAATCGTTTTAATCTGTTTTTGCTGCTGAGTGAGTTTCACATCCTGGAAATATCCTTCAAGCACATACTGTAGACCCTCCTGACTGCTTCGCTCTCAAATCAGTTTCTTGTGGTTGCATTGCTACAGCCTTCGCTGCAGATTGGACAGTTCATGCCTCCATGTTGGCCTTTATAAAGTGATAATGGACACCTCGTCAGGCATTACCCTTTATCTGACTCACGTTTGAATTTTATTAAAGCTTAAGTTGCACATATTATATAAGGGTGTGTGTGTGCGAGGCATTGCTACGTTTTAGGAGCCAGATCAACCTTTCGCTCCTCCACAGCTCCAACCTCTTGTCCAAATATGGTCACTTCTTGCTCCAAAGAACTAAGTTGGCGATGGACGAAATGCAGAACTAGAGGCATCAAAATGGGAGTCCACAAACCAATGGGTGATGTCTCTGGTAAAGGAAGTGTGTCCATCTGTTGAATGGGCATGTACCTAAACTCAATTTTAGACTCTAACTGCAGTCTCAGCCATTCATTTCAATTGACTGGTAATTTTTAACCACCACCACCAGGTCTTCCAAAGTTCAGAGAGAGAAAAGTACCCAAACCTGTCCAAACCCGACAATCATTCTGTTTTATTATGTCCAAAACCGAACTGAGCCCGACATTATTTAATTACTAAAGCACTGAGTTTGTGTCACACAGTTGTTATGGTTACAGGCTATTTAACCCGGAAACACCTTGTAAATGACTGTAAAAAGGCATTGATTTGTGCTATTCTGCTAGTAGATTGTTTAAACACACACACACACACACACACACTATGCAGTGTCATCAGCAGTTAAAAATATAATAGCCGTTCTCACTCGAGCAGCTGAGTATGTGGGAGCTCGGCGGAGGTTTGCAAGCTTGGCTAGAGGGTGTTGAAGTGTGCGCAGCCCAGTTCTGTGCTGTGGCTGGTCAGGAGAACCACAAACTGACCGAACTGCTACAGAACTAGGCTACTGGCGCTGCCACAGACAGCTGACCCAGTCACACATGCAGCTACATACACAGTCCTCTGACTGCAAGAGCACTCAGAATCGTCTCTGGAGCTTCAGAGATGAACAGCAGAAACAGTCAATGTGTGTGTGTGTTCTGTTCAGGTGTTGTCATGTAAATAACAGTCCCCATGCAATAAACAGGACAGACAATAGGATTTTATTTATTTTTACACTACATTTTCACTGAAAGCTGACCGAATATAATTTATACATTTTTGACCGAACCCGGCACGACCCGTCCGGTACCGTCGGGACTCATCGGTCTCAGATCATTTGGGTAAATGCCAGAACGGCCGCATGGTCGTGTGGCCGGCAGCCGCCAGGCAAGAAATTAAAATAAAATAAAATAATTAATTAAATAAATAAATAAATCTTCTCTTGGCGGCCCAAAACATTTTTATCGGCCACAATATACATATAAGTAGTAGCCTAAATATAATTTTAAATAAATATGAGTGAAATGGTAATATAAAGTGTTTTTGGTCATCAAGCATTTTCGCGCGATCATTGAGTGATGACATTTGACATCTGACAAGTGACAAATGAATGATGGGTAATGCACTCAATGTCAACGACAGCATTACAACAAGAAAAGAAAATGGATCGAGGCACGAAAAGACGAGTGGAGAAGGGTGGAGCGGAGAAAAAGAGAGAGAAAAAAAGGAAAGCTATGCTCACGGAGAGTGAAAAGTATGTGAAAATATCAGATTTATTTACAAAAAAGTGTTTACCCAGCGGCGACAGACCGAGCACCTCTGCAGCAAGTGCAGCTAGCAGTACGGCCTCTGCCTCAGAGAAGAGCAAACTCCTTCGCAGCCTGCTAACTACTTAAAGGTATACCTTTAAGTAGTTAGCAGGCTGCGAAGGAGTTTGTCTTATATGTCTTATAAGACATAATAATAATAATAATAATAATAATAATAATAATGATAACTTAATTTGTATAGCACCTTTCAAAACGGAGTTACAACGTGCTTAACAATAAAAACAATTAGTACATAAAACAATAAAACATCAAATAATTTAAAAACAGTTACAATAATTAATTACCATCAATTAAGAAAAGACCATGCCTGAATTTATGGGGGTTCTGCTGCTGCCTTATTATCTTGTGTGCTGTGCATTGTTGTCTACTGTACCAGTGCAATTGTAGTGAGTTGATTGCGTGGTGTGTGTTCTGAATTTCTGCATTCTTATCATATGGGTAGCTTTCCACATGCTCCCATGCAAGCCACAAATCAATTTTATCATTCATAATGACTGTGTCTGTATATCTCCTCTTCTATTGTGCATCAAGGCAGTGAGTGAGTGTGTGAGTTTCTATGGTAGCTGTGGAACAGTCTGTGTCTCTGTGGCGCTCTGAAACGTTCCGCCAATGGTAGTGTTTTTTATGTTAATATGTGTAAAATCATCCATCATAGTACCTAGTAATATGTGGGAGGGGGGATATGAGACACCACGCCTGTTCTTTCACAAATAAGGAACTGATGATCTAAAATGACGTAAAAATGCATATTTTTTTGTAAAATAATATGAAAATTTTTCACCCCTGGCTGGCCGATGCGCCGCCATGGGGCCTTTGTGTCAAAAATGCCAGGGCCTCTTTTTGGTCCCAGTCCGTCACTGGTAGCCACACTCTAGTTCAGATACAGATAGACAAAGTCATGGGACAGATATGACAATTAGATGAATTGAGCAACATTTTTCAGAGAGAAAACACAGAAATAAGTTGAAATACAATACACATTGTGGGTTTTTCTTTTAATGTATACATTTATTGTCATGATTGCATGAAAAACATACATTAAATAACAACTATTTAGCCTTTTGTATTTTATGATGTCACGTATCAATGACTGAGCCTGCCCAAGAACAGACTGCTCAGGCCATCTTTGACCAGTCTGGCAGGCTCAGAGAGCTTTATCTGACCCGTCACATGTCCTTTATCCTGAGTTTGAACTTTTACCCAGAGTCCCCAAATGTAAACTGAATAGGTTTAAAAACTCCTTTGTGCCTATCTCAATTAATATCCTAAATTGTAAATGGCCTGTTAGTTTGTTGATTTTTTGTGGAAACAGGCAATGTGCACAGCACTTACGTCAAAGACAAATTTCCCTATGGGGACAATAAAGTATATTGTATCGTGTATCGTACTGTATCGTAGTTTGGGGCTTAATAGCATGGATCAAAGACCAAGGATCAAAATGTCCTCATGAATTTTTGTGTATTTAGTGACATTCTGTTGAATATACAGATCGGATAGTGAGGGAAAGTGACTAATTAAGTGACCTCATGTACAGGTATATGGTCCCACCGACATATTGGTCACTCTGCTCATTGTCATAGTTATTAAAAGGGTCTATGTAGAATTTGTCCATCTCTTTGGTGTCCACTGGAGTCCACAGTCCCTCCTCCTCAATCAGCTGCAGCTCTTTCTCCAAAGACACCTTGTATGTTTGTTTAGGGTCTGATGCTGAATCCACTCTCGTCATGCAAATGTAACCTCCTGCAGGAAAATGAATCATCAGAATAAGTATCATCACAGAAGTAGAGAAGAATAAGTTTCAACATAGCCGCAAATTCCGGGGTTCAAGCCAGCGTGAACATTTAAAACTTGAAAGCTGGGAAGAATCAAGACCTTTGACAGTTCAGGACACCTGTGTTAAGGATTACCAACAGGTTTTATGAGACAGATCATCAGATTAAGAACGATTAAGAAGTAAAATCCATTAATGTGCTGAGCCAAACCCCCTCTGAAGTTCATTGGTCACTATCATCAAAACGCAATGACATGTCAGAAAGCTGTTGATAGCTTTTGAAGAGCTTCGTTCCATGATGATTCACAGGAAATTTGCTACAAATCAGACCTACGCCTTAGGAAGAGATTTCAAAATTATGTTTTTCTGTAAAATTCAATATGGCGGACAATCTAGTCACGGTTCTTCAGGCTTCCGTAGAAACCATTCACTTGAACATGTGTACTGAATTTCAAGTCAATCTGACCTATGGTGCAAGGGTGGTGGCCTTTCAAAAAAAAAAAAAAAATTCTTCGAACCTTAATTATAGCCCCTCCATCTGGCCTATTGGCATTATGTATTTTGAGCACCATTTGCACACAACTTCCAATCATTGGTGAAAGTTTCATGTTTCTATGATGTACCATCTCACGGGAATTTGCAAAAACATTTCTGAATAATAATAATCATAATTATAATTATAATTAGTTTTGGTTGGATTCAGCCAAGGCTGTGGCAGAAGTGCTGATAAAGAAGGAAAAATAGCTTAAACCAGAAAAAAAGTATTTTGAGCCCTGGTTGGTTACCTGGTTTGGCGGCTTGGCACAGCTGCCTGACAGCGCTGGCCGGCACAGAACCATCACGTAAAGCACTGACGATGATAACAACATCAAACGCACCTGAAACCAAAGAGAGGAGGTGTTAGCTTATTTTATTTGTGAAGAGGTAGATCTCAGCTGCTGCAGGAAAAAAAGACAACAAATGGGCAATAAGCCTGTACATTTCACAGAGCGAAAATCTCTGCGTCATGCTGTCCAAAAGTCAGTCACATGACACTCTCGTCATCTGCCAGGCTCATTGTGGATTATCGCTTCTATTTCTCGTACAATGATTTTTAGGAAAGTTCTGCAGCTTCTCTTTTCTGTGATATCAAAGTAGATTTAAAGACGTTTATTCTGGATGGGCATCAGAGATAACTGGCTCTTCTTCAACTCTCTGACCCCTCCCTGTGGAGACTTTGGTCTGTTTTTTTTTGTATTTGTCCTGCTGAAAGGCCATATCTATTACAGACCATAATATCTGATCATGTCACCATGGTTACAGTTACCTAACTGATGTATTAAATTAAGGACGAGCTCAGTGCAGAGTCATTCCCCACCCCCTCCTGTGATGTTCATCCTGTCTAAAGTTTCAACTGTATTCAGTGTTGATATGAGTAATCAGAGTGTATGCAGTGTGAGTGTAGTGTACCAGTCTGTGTAGGCAGTGGTTCTGGTTCCAGTAAGGCCAGTTTGAGGTCCTGATAGAGGCCAGTCTTTGCAGCTAGTTCCAGCATGCTATTACTGCCGTCCACTCCAACAAAGTGCTTGAAGCCCAGTTCAGCCATCTATAAACACAAGAAGACAACTGGCAGTTTGTATGTATGTAGGGTTGTTGTGAAAAAGTCAGGAGACGTGTTGAAGTTATGTGCAGCACACAACAATTCTTCCTTAAAAGTTTTTGGCTAACCAGTTTAGCGACCAGTCCAGACCCACAGGCGACATCCAGAACCTGAGCCTCCTCATGACTCCCAGGGAAGTTGGCGTTCAGGAAATCTACCGCCAGATTTGGTTCCCTGTAGTTGAGTATCTTCACATCCTGTTGATGTAACAGGTTTAAACATTTTATAGTGTGACAAATGTAACTAATTACATGTACATATTACTGGTTTAGAGTTGTAACAGTCAATTGAAGTCAACTGAAAATAAATCTGCAACCACTCTGATAATCGTTTAATTGTTTGTGACATTTTTGAGCAGCTTCTCCAAAGTGGGGATTAAATGTACAGACTTGTATGGTGGGATGTCTTTGAACCAATCACACTGTTCAACATCATCTGAAGTGGACTTTAGTAAAAACACGCCCGTTGTTTTACAAGCATGGCTGACCGTGAGTCATGGAGGAAGAGCAAGGCACATTTCAGTCTATTTATCAAATTGTTAAAGCACATAATTTATGTTGAAACTGTTGTTAAACTAAACATGAAATGTTATTTTATTTAGACATGTCAAAAAATAGTATGAAAGATTTATAGCTTTTACTCAGGATTAAAAAAAAAGAAGAAGAAGTTTTGTTAGGTTTTATGAGCTTTTTCGGAGATTTGAAGTTTAACAATGGTCAAACGGTGTGCATGGGGTACATGCAACTCTGACACAAGGTATCCTGAGAGGCTGGGCGACCAGGTGTATTTTTTACACTTTAAACCACATCTCAACCGAGAAAAGTGTCTCCTTTGGATAAAGTTGTGTGGTAACGTTAGACCACAACATCAACTCAACGTGAATAAGATTAACAATGATGTCTACATCTGTTCTAAGGTAAGTCAACATTGTGTTTGAGGCAACATATTGTCACTTTGCTGGAAAGAAATATAAAGTTATCTTTAACATCTCTAGCTAATGTTAGCTAAAGTTAGCCTAGCGTTAGCTCTTAGCTGCGTTGTTCATCATGTCACCTTGTTTGCTGGGAGTTCATTAGCCTATTTTGTTCTAGTTTTGTACTTTGGTGATCGCACATCATTGTTAGCTGTTGTCCAAAGGGCTCTAGTTAAGCTAACGTTAACTTTTTGCTGAATGATTCAGTGTAAATACTGTAGCACCAAACTAACGGAGAGACACTCTTGGTAAAGATGGTAAAAAGGCCGTTATCCTTTTCTCATATTCTGAGCCAAAAACCTTAACTTCAGTGGCACTTTAACTTGTTGTCTTTGATGGTGACGGCAACGAGATGCGGTTCACAAGCGTACACTGTGACCTGTAAATTTTGGCTTGTAATTTAAGCTTTTCATCGACCTTCTCGACAATAAAATGATGAATATATCCCTCCAATGCATAGTTTAGGCCCTTTTGGTAACTTCTCAATGACATCTGATCATTATGTCTCCAAAAATCATCAACTGCCTCCTGTGAAATGCCGTGTACTGTGACACCTGCCATAGTGCCGGTCACTGAATGTTGATAGTTTGTCCAAGTGAGTGGAGGGGGGCTGATCCATCAGTTGATTGTTCTGTTTGAAATTAGCTGATGTTGCTGGGATGTGAGCTGAGCTTGACGTGTCCTGACTGAACTATGGCTTTCCACCTGAGATTGACATTTTTCCTATTTAGACCAGTGAGTTTTTGCCTGTTGATTTGGTTACCTCTGTCTGTGCCGACTGCCTTTCGTGTGCTGACCCTGACTGCATTAAAAAACCCTAAAATGTGGATTTCTTCTCAGTCTTCATTTGTGAGTCCACCATTGTGTCTGATAAGACACCCACCATTACAAACATAATTAGGCTCTGAACGGGTGAAGAAAGGTGAGATCAGATCAGGTCAGGTAAGATAAGGTGCGGTACCTGCTGTTTTAAGGCGTCAGATATATTTTCATAGGCACATTTAATGCCTACAGAGTGTGTTTAATACTTAATCCATCAGACCTGATGGAGGAAGAATTTCTGCTCACTGACCTGTTCGTACGTCTCTGCCCAGTTGTCAAAGAACTTCATCATCTGCTGTGGATTGAAGCCTTTTCTGGACTGAATAAGGCTCCTCACATCCTCCACAGTTCTGCTGCTGTCTGACATGATGAGGAGACGACTTCAAACCTGCCAGAGAGGAGACACATGTTCTTAACGTGACATATGTTGACATGTAGAGTCGACAACACAGGAATGGAGAGCACAATCCGTCTCCCTGCAGTCTAACCTGTTCTCTGAGTTCACAATCTGCATAGACTAACACCAGTACAGTTAACGTTTTGAGTTCCATAACAGTCCTGTTTTAATGTGTTGAGTGTCCATACATGTTAACGATTCATTGTCCCCAGGTTTATATTTTGCAGAAGAAACAGATGTTAACCAGTGGTGCGAGGTAATTACACCAGGATGCAGTGCACGCTATTATGTTACTAGTTATGAAACACAAACACTCACACAGCTCAGCTTATCAGTTTGGAACATAGACTGCATGATGAAGGTGGACAGCATGACAGCTCCCCAGAAGTGAATGCAAAACACCCCGATCGCCCCCTGGTGGCTATGTGCAGTATAGGTTTTTGTTTTTCTGATAAGTTTGGTCTTAATTAGTTATTCTTTGCTATAAAAACGGAGGTTGATGTTGATATCAAGATTTACAGCTGTGTGTGTCGATCAGTGTGGTCGTGATAAATTGCACTGCTCGTGATTGGTCATACAAGTGCATGAGCGGGAACTCGATCCCACAGAGATACTCTATGACAGAAGATAATCCACTACAAGCTGTGTCAGTGGTAGAAAATGGTTTACTTTTCTGGTCTCTGAGTGGGCGTGGTCGTCTCTCCCTGAACAATAACATGTAACAAATGTGATGTTAATACAAGAGAGACACAAACTGTGACCTCACCAACACATTTCAATGATTTGGACCATGTGACCTTTTTTTTTTTTTTTTTTTACCACTGTTGGATCAATGACTTTTTGACAGACCGCCCCCGGAGGGTGAGAGTGGGACCCCATGTCTCCCCAGCCATCAGCCTCAGCACCGGCTCCCCTCAGGGCTGTGTGCTGAGCCCCTTATTATACACACTCTACACACACGACTGTACCGCCATACACCCCAGCAACAGCATTATAAAGTTTGCTGATGATACCACTGTGGTGGGGCTCATTTCAGGAGGGGACGAGTCTGCGTACCGGGATGAGGTGGAGCAGCTGTCTGTATGGTGCAAAGCAAACAACCTAATCCTCAATACTAACAAGACAAAAGAAATCGTGATAGACTTCAGGAGGAAGACAACACACATCCAGCCCTTGTTCACTGGCGGGGAGTGTGTGGAGAGGGTCCCAAACATCCGGTACCTGGGCGTGTACATAGTGGACGACCTGACCTGGAGCACCAACACCAGAGCCACCATCAAAAAGGCACAGCAGAGACTCTTTTATCTGCATTGGCGTGTGGTTTTCCAGCTGCACAGCAGCAGGCAGAAAAGCTCTGCAGAGAGTCGTCGCCTCAGCCCAGAGGATCATTGGTTGCGACCTTCCTTCCCTGGAGTCACCGCACAGCTCTCACTGCCTCAGGAAGGCTCAGCACATCCTCAGGGATTCAACCCACCCTGGAAAAGCACTTTTTGAACTGCTGCCCTCTGGCAGACGGTTCAGGACTCTGAGGTCAAGAACAAATAGACTGAGAAACAGCTTTTATGTAAGAGCCATAACTGCACTAAACACAGCTTGATTGACCAGCTAACTGTAACACATAACACAAATTACAAATGTGCAATAATAGAGTTGTTTTTATTTATTGAATGTGAATATGGTGTGCTTGTTGATAGTGCTTTTTTCTCTTTCTTATTTATCACATAGATATATATATTTTTTTACCTGTGAATGATTCATTCATCAAAATAAGTAAACTGAATCTTTGAGTTTTGACTGTTAGTCTAATAAAAAAGAAGAAGAAGAAGATATAAACCAACAATATAATGCTGACACAAAAGTTGCAGCTCTAAAACAGCCTGACTGTGATGAAGTATGAAAACAGTTTGTACTCACCTGTGTGAATGGCTTCAGGTAGAGAAGCAGATGTGAGAGAGAGAACAGTGATGACGACCGGAGATATATGTGGACCAGAGGTGAGCTAGTCAGTCCTGATTGGCTGGCTGAACCTGCTTCAGGGGCTCCATGTCACAGAAGAGGCCACTTCAAGGATGACTCCAGGGGTTTCAGTCACTTCATGTCTCTGTTATAGTGGAGTGCTTTCACTCCATAGGTGGAACTGGTTGAGGAATGTTTAGGTTGCACTTGCCCTGGGGTGTCAGTCAGAACACACAGACAGGAGACAGCATATAGGTTTAACTGTTTAGTGACTAGTATAGTCATACTTGATACAGCACAGTGGTACAGTAAACCAAATTATGGCCTGCTGTTGTTGGTCTGGAGCAGTGGTGTGCAGTCCCGCCATCCTCCATTCCCTCTTTGATTCCTAAACCTAACCACGTGTGTTTGTTGCACGAGGAAATAACCGTAAATATGAGGTGTTTTACCGACGTTGTAAGTTTATCCTGAAAAAGACTGTATACATCTGAAGAGCAGAAACGGCACATTGCCTGTGATACTGGAGGTGTGTTTTGAAAAGACACAATGTGTGCACCAGGCATAAACTGACATGGTGTCCTGGAGCATCAACAACAGGGTAGCCCAGTATGTAGACTTCAAAAGTCCACTGAACAAGCAGCAATGTGACGAGTTGGGAGTGAGAATATGTTGAAAACCTTTGGAAGGTCTGAAAAAGCTGAACCATAGACTTAAAGTAGGAAAGGTGGAGACTGGTTTAAAGTTTGATTGAAGGTTGG